ACGAGAGGAACTGCACGTTATAAGGAATAGTACAGGGAACGAAATATGGTCGATTTACAACGATAAATATTTCGAAATATGAACATTTTTCTCGTAAAATCAATAAAACTTACTCATACCCTGTGTATCCGTTGTATTTTCTGGCGATTTCTGCCGTTTTAAGCTTGCTTTACCATCACTATTATTCACGTCATCTACTTTTATTACGTTGGTAAAATCTGTACAGACATCACAACAACCAACTCGCGCGCAAAGTAAGAAGACTATATTGAAGGCTTGAAGTAATATTGCGATCGATTTTCACCAAGAAATAGGTCAGGAATATCTCACAATAGTGCAAATAATCGTTTTTCTGCGGATCGCAGAAAAGCGATGCGTGACGCTCGGTAAGCTGCAAGATGACATGTTATTATATACTAGACGTAAAAACTCGTCAGAGTCTTAGTCTGCATTTTGTACCCACTCTGCAGTCTGCAGTCTATATTTTGTATCCGGTCTGCATTTTGTTCTAACAGGTATCCGTGGCACAAATACAGTTTATTTTTGGTTACATTTATTCGCACAACACACATTATCTACCACAAAATACCTGTGAGTGAGGTAATTCGACATTTTCGTTCTTTCCCACATTAATAATCTTCTTTCCTTTTGTAAGAATGTAGACATCACTCACAATGTTTCAAGTAATCCAGCCACCCTACAAAAAAGTAACTCTTGCATGCATAGCATGCCTATGTTTTGAAATAGGTGTATGCCCTTGGCCAGACTCGAGCGCACTATTTCAGTATACTAGTCCGATACCCGTAGTATCACTACACTTGATTCCAAGGATCCAGTACCATCCAGGTATCCCAGTTACCCTGCTCACAGGGTCTAGTTGAATTTGGTTTGCTTCCTGTCGAAGAAGGCGACGAAGACGCTGTTCTGTCGTAAATTTTGCAATTTGTAGGACCAGGGTTCGGCGAGATGTCTCCACTAATTATCAGTTTAGCTTGTTGAAACGTTGCTGTCGAGTTGTGATAATAATTTGTCCTTGTTGACATGAAGCCCTTGCGTTTGAGAGTGTCATGGACGCGAACACGATGTAGACCATCGGACTCAGCTACAAGGAACTTTCCGGTGCTTGAGGCATGTCCGTCAGGATAGACAGGCGAGTTGGTAGATTGTAAGCAATTATTAGCAGTCGATAGAACCAAATAAATCGACAGAAGAGCGTAAAAATGATAAAAAATGCGAGGAGGAGCGGAGCGCCTCAACTCACGTCCGCACCGCATGCCACAACCACAACCACAATTTCTTTCTAATTAATTATGGCGGCTTACCTGTGCGAGCTTTTCCCCGTCGAAACTCCTCTAAAAAGACAGGATTCAATACCCCAAAGCTAAACACGAATCCAAGAATCAAAATACTTGATATCAGACCAAGAGTGCACACAAACCAACTGCGCGCACTATCTACTTGTTGACGTTTACAGCTGATACATTTTCCTCCATCTGCGGTTTCCACAGTACAAGATGATATCTCCTCGTGATTCATGTTTTATCTGTTCGGGCTGAGGGTTGATACTTAGAGAGCCTTCGACACTAAACAAGGCTGCAGTTGTCAAACAAAAGCAAGAAGAACTGGCCTAACCAGTTGGCGAGTTTTAAGATTCGAATCAGTATAATTTTCTCGTCATCGCGTTTCTCTCCTGTTACAACTTTGCACTCGTTTTCAGCCAATCAAACGCGCGTAATTTTTTCCTTATTTACATTATTAATTAAAAGCTCTTATCCCGCGACATCACTGAGATGTTGACTGCAGGTGTTATTTTGCAGCAGGCTATTTTGGTTACTTGGCATATTCACGAAATTGTCGTTTCTCTCTATATATTCTATCACTAAATTGATCATTAAACAGGTTACATTGAAATAAAAAATGAAAAAAAAAAAATACTACGCTCAGTTAATCCTAACTTGGCCTCTAAAAGCAATAGTTGCAGTTTCGTGATGCCCTGATAATAACCTCTTTCTGACACGAAAAGCTGGAAATGAAATATATGTAAGGCGACCCCAATGATATCGGATCAGTATTGAGATAATGATTCTCTTATAAAACAGGAAAACATTTGTATTCCTCTAATCTCTTGGCATGACATTTGGCAACGTCTTACCAATCAAACAACCACAAACGATTTGATGTATAAGCTCTACGGCTTTTTCTTTTTAACATAAAATTATACAGTAATCATTAAAGTTTGGCAACACTACAGCGGGAATTATTTAAAATTTAACGATTATTAGTATTCTGGCTCCCCTCCCCCCTCTTAGATTTCAATATCATTTCCCCTTGTGTCTGCCTTGCTTTTCTCATAATGTCAGCTTAAAGGATGTGAGAATTTACTGTTTGTTTTTAAAAAATGTATTGGTTTGTATGGAGAAGTTTCCTTTTAGTCATTCATGAGAGTGAAAGGTCAATGGTTTATATGTAAACAGGAGGAAGTAGACGACCTCACTGATTTTAAGCTTTACAAGTCAATATGTCTTTATACGCCATTCTGAGCTCCCGTCGCATAAGTCCATAAATGATTGGATTGAGAGCACTGTTACTCGCTAGCAGCACCACTTGCCAAAAGTACACTTGTCGTGGAAGCGAACGCGGGCCGCTCAGTGCTTCATAAACATCCGTGCAGATGACTGGTGTCCAACAAACAAGGAACGCAATCAGGGTAACGAACAACATCCGAGTAATCCTCGCCTCGTCTGCGAAAGATCCCGAAGCCTCTCGAGCAACACTCGAGTTCAAAATTTCGGCAAAATGTGCCCGAACTCTCCAGTAAGCTTTAAAATAGCAGAATAACATCAAAGGAAATACTAAAAAGCAAACTGCACCGTAGGCCACAAGTGTGTATATTGGGATGCCCTTATGGTGATTCATGTTTACAAAGCAGAGGTTTTTTCCAGGATGAAAGCGAAACGCTTTGGTTCCGAATGAAAACACAGCCGTCGCCAAAGCGATTGCGACGATCCAAGCCGCAAAAATTGAGAGCAAAATGTTCCTCTTACTATAAATTCTCCGATAAATAGCTACAGACTTCGTTATCTTGAAAAACCGATTGATGGCGATAAGAGCCATTGTGAATAGAGAAACGAGAGCGAAGACAAATGTAAGACTGCCCTGAGCCTGGCAGAAGGCATTACCAAAAATCCACTGGCCTTCTATTAGTACTCCAAGGGATAACGTCATACACAAGACGGCGAACAGCAAGTCTGCGGCGGCGAGGCACGCTATGTAATAGTTTTGAGGCGCGCGAAATCCTCTGATCTTGTACAAGGATAAACAAACTAAAGCGTTACCCAAAACTGCTGATCCAACGAGGAAAGCCCAGAGTGTGGATTCAAAGACAACAAGGCCAATATATCTGTCCTCCAAAGATATTGCAAGCTCATTTTCTCTTTGGGACGTTTCTTCCATGGTTAATTTACGCCTGAGCGAACGTTTTTTTGAGCAGTCAGATCTGAAGAGGTTAGCAGAGAATGCGGAAAGTTGCTAGACTGACGCACTTAAAAAAATTGCCTCCCGGCTCTATTTCCATAGAAAAAGAAAGTAAATTAGATACAGACTTATTTATCCTTGTAGACTGAAGAAAAAGCCTAGCATGGAAACTTGATACTACATAGATTAAAGTTGTTTTTTTTCCATAGTAACTTACTTCCTTGATTACATGAGACCAACGAAAAATGCTGTATTTAAGACGAGGCTTCTTTTGGGTATTACTTGCGTTTTGCGTTTATGCTTTGCATCTTTACAGCGATCTCTTCAAATGCCAACGCATAATTAACGTGTAAGCGTCAACTTCAGTTTCGCTGACGCGAACACTGTATTTGTCATCGCTGCTAAAAGTAGAAGAATTATTTTCCTGGAAAATTCATATGAAAGTGGCAGGGGTGATCATCGGAAATTTCATATTGAATATCGAAACCAAACCACAAACCCGTCCCATGGTTATATGCTTCAACTTAGGCTCAAAAGGAACAAGTAATCCCTTTGACCTCTGCTTTCCACGGGTTCATTTATTTCTTAAGCGTGTGGCACCAGAATCACATGTATTCCACTCGCTTAACTCGTTCCAATAGATAACCTCGGGCCGCGTTGCATTCTTTCAAGAAAATACGACCTTCATTCCTCAGCTCCGGTAGGACCATAGTCTCATGAAAACTTTTTCCCATTTTGGTCTATGTTTAACGCGTCAAATGCGAAGGAAGTGGGATGCTAACGGTAAGTACAACCATAATAGTAATAATGTAGTGGTAATAACGATAATAATTGCTTTATTCAGCATTTCTATCAGGTGTCTTCTCATCTGAATGAAAATAAACAATTACACATATTAAAATAAAAATAGATAATAAGTCTAAGAGTCAAATATATGTATAAATGAAAGAAAATATTAAGTTATTAAGAGTTAAACTGAAAGTCCAGTGTATATTTTTTCTCATTAAGTGTTAAAAGTTACAATACGGAGAGGTCCTTATTTGATCTGGTTAACTATTCATTAAAAATCTTGGCTGCTCGATCCTGATAAATATGTGACACTTATGGGATTTCAAGGTGCATTAAGGCACAAGATCTGTTCGTCAGACTGCATCGACATCGGCATCACTTTCACTTTTTTAGAATAAGCGTGATATTTTGCTGTTTTTCTGTCAAGCGGAGAAACTCCGCTCCATTATAAGGATCCAAAGATTATAGTCACGATCGTTCGAAGTTGCTGATAAGAAAAATTAAGTCAGAAAATGGAGGAACCAAGTGTCAATCGGTGTGTCCGTCCTTGAGGGTGGCAGGGGTTTTTGCATGACGCGTGATGGCCCCAAAATTTGCAGGGTGACGCATGAATGAACCCGAATTATCCGCGTGACGCAGGACCAGACATGACAACGTGATGCGCGATTTTCTGTATTACAAGCGCGTGACGCGTAATTTACAACACTTACTAATTGGATTCCGTGATAATGAACGCTCTTTGACCTAGAAGGAATCCAATAATTCAAAGCAAATAGAGTCTTAATAAAGATCAATAAACCGTGGCAGCCGTGACACTGTTTTCTGGTCAATCGTAACACAATAGGCATAAGTTAATATAGTTAACATTTGCACGAGGATTATGACCTTCAGTGTTATTTTTGTCGACCGCCTGGTCGTGGTGGTGCGTCAGATCGTATCCAGAAAGACCAGAAAGTATCCGAATCCATCGAATGAAAGATCTCTAAGAATGTCGACCCAAACGACTGAAACGGTAAAAGACGTTCGAGTTTTGGTGTCATTTTATGCCGCCCTAGAGGATGGCAATGTAAGCAATGAGTTAAAACACTGGGAAATTTTTTTGACCTAAACGAATTCAAAAGCCACGTTGTAACCTTTACTGACATAAAGACAGTTGCCGTTCAGAAGGGGATTGGTCAAAACATTGACATTAATATTGCCTGTGTATAAAAGAAGAGTAAAGGTGGCGTAGACGTCTGCTCAATCTTGGAGCCACAAGTGGCCGCAAAATTGAAAGATAGCCAATTTAGCAATCATACTAGTTCTAAAGAGATAACTAATGGGCCATATATGAGTTCAATCTACGAAAACATTGTCAAATCTATGACTACTGACTTATTAAACAACAAACTATGACGACTATGATGCCCAGACGAACACCTCAGATGCTGAATTGAAAAAAAAAAATCTTCGTGAACAGAACTTCGAAGGTGAGGCAAACAACAAGCTATTGGATGAAGAGGATACTCAACGAAGCAACTTGAATGGTAAATACCTAAGCTTCACTCCTGTGTTAAAATTCTGATTCTCTGGTTTGTTTTTACTGTGTTCTATACTTGTAAAGTGTGATTTGATATTGTGATACGAGGCCTGAGTAAACGCTCCCTCAGCGTCTAGTTTCCACAAGTAAGTCGTCTTTATTTGTTCAACAAAAAGAAATATGACAAGTGAAACGCAATTCATTCCGGAATAAAAAAACGTTGGATGCAATATAATTTTTAATAATACATCCGATCGGTTGAAATCTTACAGTATTAGCTTAGTGTAATTAATCCTTTTACGTGACGCATGATTGGTTAAAAAATTATCCGTGATGTGTGATTTGATAGGAAAATTCAGCGTGATGTAGGATTGAAACCCCCCCCCTTTGCCACCCTCGTCCCTTCCGTCCACCAATCAATCAGACAGACAGCCTGAATGAAAAGCCGAAAACTTCCAATACAGACATAAAATCAGCAGTATCGATACACACATAAATCATAACCGACAAATTACTTGATAGCTTTAACCTGGGATCACGCCTTCTTTTTTCGAGGTTGCGCCCTCGCTCAAGAAAAGGAACCCCTGATCCCAGGTTCTCATAGCTATCGCCATCACCTGCGTTTGGAGCTGGAAACGAGAAATTCATCAACAAAGGAAGGTGTCACACAACATTACGGTAATCAAAGTGTGAACTCTAAGAGCAATTACCATTGGAGCTCGAGGCGAACCAGACACCGAACGAATAGCTGTGTTCGAATCATGGGTCGACTGGGTGAATTTGTGGTGTTTTTCATGGTCACTTTATTTGTTGCTCATGTTGTCAAAACGCTGTGAGTGAAATGTTATTTTCCTTTCTAAATTGAACCGTGAATGCTTGTCGAGTTGCTGTTTAATGAGACGAAGGAAATATCACGCACTCCTTTTCATTCTTCAGAATATTCATAGGACATTTCACTCATATTGTGAATCACTCTCCCGGACCTTGCAGAGTAATAGAAGGTAAGTCTAATGAGGCTGCTTTGGAAAAACACCTCCATGAAGCTGCATGAAATGTTTGAATCAGTATTTAAAAATTATGCTGCATTAGGTGATGGCTTTGGTCACGAGGCGTCCGCGCGCTCGAGCATAGATTCTGTCTGTGTAGCACATTTTCACTTGAACAGCCCGGGTTGACAAGTTTCACACTTTAATTTAATTGCTATTTCGTTCTCTCGACGAATCAATCGGGCTACTGACGGGTAATCTCATTTCCATTTGATCTGGTAGACAGGTCAGTTCCGTGACAACTGTGTAAGGCAATATCAACAACTTAGTCCATCGGCGTGTATGTCCCCCAGAACACAACATAAACACTCTTAGAAACTGTAATCGATCTTTTCATCGAGTAAGAGCATGCACTACACAGTTCGAACGAGAGAGGGTGGCAAACATGGGGTCCTGATCCCGCTTCACGCACGAATTTTAGAAAAATTCATGCATCACGTGTACTTTAAGCAGTTTTCTTCTTGTATGCGAGGTTTCGATGATTTCTTGAGGTTTTCGCGAAAGGAAAAAAATTCACGGGTCACGTATACTTCAGGATGCAAAAAACGCTTCACTCTGGTTCATAACTTCGCGTATAACGCTCGCCTCTCCGGTGAAATTCACGCCTTAATCACGCGTCTCTTATAAATCAGGGTGCCCGTAGAATCCCAGTTATTTTATAAATGCTAATGTCCCCCTCCTTACAAACGTCCCTCTGATGTTGCCGCTGAAGCAATTCTCCTGTCTGTGTCTTCATGAGAAAATCTTTTTTTTGCCTTTGGTGATTTTCAGTGAATGGCTCAGAGGATCTCGCCCTCCTTAACGATGGACTAGTGTTCGTGTCTTCTGTAAGTTTCTGCTGTTGTAAATTTAGACATCTCTGTTTAGGAGTTGGTCATCATTCCTTCGAGCTGTCTTAGCTTAATTTTCATTCCATTTAATAGAGGTTCCGTTGTATGAAAAAAATTTGTTGGCCTATTTGCAGAGCGTAAACAATATTTTTGTAATAAAGATGTCTTAATTTTTAAGCCAGAGGGAGAGGGGGAGGGGGGTAAAATGCAGCCCAGTACCCCTCGATACAACGTTCGCCTTCTCGTCAGACTCAGTCAAGTCTGTTCTAGGTGTTCAGGTTTAAGTTAGAACAGAGCGCGACAGTAAATGATGCTTTAGCAGCGGCGGAGCGTTGATAGGAGGGAGGATTGGGTCGAGTCGTTGGGAGGTCTAAATCAGACCTCCCTCGTTTTTTCTCCTCAGCCGCTGGTATCGCGCTTCGTTTCACTAACTGAACGCTTGGAACAGGCTAGACCTAGCCTTGACACGCGGGCGAGAATAAAAATTTGACGTTTGATTTCTGAAGATATTTGACTTAAACTTGGTGAATTTGTTTCATATTTATTTAATAGGGACTTCGTTACAGGCTCAGCATCTCGTATGACCCAGTGCTTGACACGCGTGAGGGCAAAATTTTGACGTTTGACTTCAACAAAGCCAATAAAAATCCAGTAGAATTGACGCTGAAGAATTTTAATCGTTCGGGGTTTAACCCGCACGGGATCAGCGCGTATCAGGATCCATCTTCTGGCGCGGTTTCCCTGTTTGTCATAAACCACCGACCGGATGCCCAAGCCATTGAAATATTTGACTTCGAACGGGAAACTCACTCACTGATTCATCGGCGCTCTGTGGTGAATGAACTGATCTGGAGTCCAAATAACTTACGTGCCGTAGGTATGTGAAATAAGTAGCCATGCGATCTTTCGGAGAGAAAAAAAAAAGTTCTACATAGACCTATTGAATAAACAAATTTTAATATAACGAGCATACTAACTTAAGCGCGAGGAAACACAAATGGGCGATCAACTTCAGTCGTGCATCTAATTGATTAGGAGATAAGACAGACAACGAGTAAAGTACGGCAAAAAAAATTGCAACCCGGATTTTTAGGCTCAGCCTATGCTATGCGAATATGCATGAAAAATACATTGTTCCCAGACTGATATTCATGGAGAAATACAGATGTGTTAATCAAGCAAGTAGTATGGGCCGTCATGTATGAGCGTGAAAATAGTTCTTGCGCGCGGCTCTCTCGCGCGCATTTTCCCAGCCTGCAAACAAGCCCTTCTTATTCGCGCTGCAAGACGTGCGTTTCTCCGTCCGCAGGAAGGTTTTAGACGAGACGAGGAGAGGTTTGTTGGGGTTCAGGTACCACTAAGTCTGCTAAACCATGGTAGACCTCTCGCTAACTCACGTTGCTTGAAGGATTATACTTTCCCGCGGGTAAAAAAGAAATACTCGTGCCGAACCGCTAATTAGGCTTAATTTAGCACCATTGTTTTAATCTTGTGTTACTTATGAACTCTAAGTGAATCTTGGAGAGACTTGTGACGAAAGCACTTTTGATGGGTGGTTGTTTGAGGCTGTTGAATCCTGGATCCAGATACTGAATTTACCCATTTAGGACTCTACCCTCCCTAGGATAGAGAGAGAGTTTCTTGTATAAGCTAAATATGATGCATAGAGGAATGTAAGGATTGTTTTTAGAACTGCATATCGAGCTTGGCTGCCCGTGCATTACTTAAACTAAACTGTACACGCAATTTTAAGTGGACCTCTCAACGGTCTTTTTAGAGATAGTGCCATCATTGCTTCTCTGTATGTTATTTTTTCAGGTCCAGATGCCTTTTACGTGACAAACGACAATTTGTTTCGATATGGGACAGTACAGCAATTGCTATATATGTATATTTTAAACAACTTCTTTGCCTCAAATATTGTGTATTTCGACGGATTTAAGGCCATCGAAGCGATAAGTGGAGTCCATCCTAACGGCATAGCCATGGATAAAGACCAAAGGTAAGCGTTCAGTTTTGATGCGAACTGATTACATTTAGCCTTTAACTCCCATGAGTGGCCAAGACAAATTTCTCCCTACAATTTCTATATACAATAAGTGATGAGAATAAAGAAAAACTTTCAAATAGGGGATTATTAGTTGATCCAATACCAACAAATTGTCCAAACTAAGATTTAAAAAATTGAATGGCATTTTGACTTGCGGATGATATAATAGTGAGGAAAAGATCCACGCAAGTGGACTGCAAAAATTAAATGAATCAGTGATGGATAAACTGTTGAAAGGGAGCCAGAAAAAAATCCAAAGATACTAGATCAGAACGCCAATCCTTATAAAAACGCACACCCTTTGTTAGGATTTGACAAATAATAAACAGGTGAATGAATAGACAAATAAACTTGTGAATATACAAAAAGTAGGTGATCGAATTATTAATATTCCTAAAAAAATGGGAGGACTTCTCGTAAAACATGTTTAAGTCCGTGTGGACCTGAGGGGAACGGAATAGTATGTTATACAGCTTCTTCTTTACCTCTTTATTTTTGTATGTTTTCCCTCAATTTGTTAAACAGCAGCCTTTGCAAAAGATGCGTTTGATATTCTACTTAAGCTAAACTGTAATCCTTTTAGTTTTGTCTTTGCGTCTGCAACCCATGATAACGGTGTGGCAGTTTACAGACGTCGTCGTGACAACACCTTGGAGGCTTCTCAGGTAAGTCGCTTAAACGATAAAAAAATTATGATTTAAAGTATTTCCGTTATTTAAATTTGGCTTAGTTTTTCCAGGGAGAAAATTGCTTACTTTTAACCAAGCTTAAGAAGCATCATTAACAGTGTTCTGACCATTGAGATCATTGGCATGACGTAGTTTGCAAGGACACGTCTCCGTTTTATCATTCGCAGAACGTGTTTGTGAATCCACTAACACCTAAGATTTTATGCACGATTCTCCCTTCTTGCTGCTATACATTTCGCTGTAAATAAATCAAAAGAATTTAATGTAGCAAAGCTGGTTGTAGTGATCGGTACTCCCTGGTTGAGGAGAGATTTCATGAAATAAAACCAGTGTAGTTTTTCTGGTCTGTGCTTTGTGGTTTTCTCCTATGACGCTAATTTTTAATTAAAATGGCACAGGCCCATTTATTCTTGTCTCTATTTTCCTGTCTGTTGGAGAATAAGAGCCATCTACTTAAGTATAAGTCACTTCGAGAAGCTGAAAGGTCAATTGCTATGGTCTTTTATTCCATCATTTTGTTATTTTTATTGTGCAAAATTAATGAAACTTGTGAACGTGATTTGGGGTCAGATTGCTAACATCATTAACGATGCGTACGGGACTTTGAGCACGATACTCAACGAGCTTGCTTGAAAATTCCGAAAGTGATCTAAAGAGTCTCTAAGTCGAGACGAACCGCAGCGTCATACCAGCTGCGAACTATTATCACCAGTATATTTGAAAATTTTTATTGTATATTTTCTGTATGCAGGTGATTAAAGTTGGAGCACATGTTGACAACATTAATGTCGATCCTGTTACCGGGAACCTTTGGTTGGCAACAGTACCGAAAATTCTTGACATCGTGGCGTACTCAAAAAACATCAGCCACCCTAGTGCCTCTCAGGTTCTAGAGGTACAGTTAGGGAAATCATCTGCATCTGGGATCGCTTTTCCTTATCACAAGGTTCGTGAGGTGTACAGGAATGACGGAAAGGAATTGTCTGCTTCCACATCTGCTCTTGTCTATAAGAGCCAACTCCTTGTTGGAACTTTAGCTACTAACATGCTTTATTGTGAAGTGAAGTACTATTAATTCGTCAGAAAACTAACTGCCCAAAAAGGCAAAGAGTGATGCTTGTTTCCTGTAGAGCATGCTGAGTTTCAAGCACGTTTATCAAAGGTAGAAGACCCCTAAATTCGTGATACAAACGTTATATAACCAAAATGTGGGATAATATAAGTTAGTGTACTTTTTCTACCTTTAGCTGTTCGTATGCAGCTCCCCCAGAAGTGCCCCAGAATCAGAGGACTTGAAAAATCGCGTAATTATGTTGTTATGAATAAATTCTTACGATGATGATGAATTGTGTGTTGTTATTAATCCTCATTAATAGAGTCTCAGACTGCAGTAAAGTCTTTAAGCCATTATTTTGCGTTTCTTACAGTTGATCAGGGGGACTCAAAGGTTTTGACAGCGAAAGTCTAATTTGTAAGTTCAAAAGCTTGGCTGAACGAAGAACATACGAATGTCACACGAAGTGTAGCTACGTCTATCCTTCAATCTTTCTTTCCTCTCACGCCAGACCATTTACAGACCTCTAGCATTTTCTCTTAACTCGCCAGCTCAAACCTCGCGAGCTCCGTTGCTCTTGTCTCAGCCACAGTCTGAAACATCGATCAAACGACTGTGCATGTGCAAACTTTGAAAGAACATTCCCGTTCCCCGAGTCCTTGATCACGATTAGTCAAAACGTGTGGCTCTGGGGACGAGAAAAAGAAATCGCCAAAATGGCGGCGGGATGATGTGAAAAGCCAAGTTGTCTTACAAGGCTTAAAAATTAATCCCATCACACCCACTGGTAAGTTTAGACAGAATTATTTAAGTTTAATAACGGTAGCTATATGTAAAGGTGATTTCAAATAGTATCACTATCCTAACAAAGGCTACTTTTTACAAAGAAATTAAAGCAAACAGCTAGTCGTACGATTTATTTGTGAAACAAAGCATTAGTCCCAGAAGGGACTTATAGTGTTGGTTATTGTTTTCTTTCAAGAAACGACTGTGTCATCTATCTAATAGCAAGTAACTTGTACGTTAACATACTAAACAGAAAAAACTGTCGAACCAACCACAAATGAATCAGCTGTAGAGCTGTTAGAGTCCGGAATCAAACAAATCGTGTCGAGATCGCGGCTCTGCCATTAGTCACCTTGTGAAATCATTCCCCACACAAAATGATTTTTGCAATGTTTCGTTTGTATAGATGGATTTTCAAGCAGAGCCTCGCCAAGTTAGCTTCCTCAATGATCATAACTACTGGATTTCGTGTGGTATGTACGCCCTGGAATATTAGCCAGCTCTTATTGACAGCTGGATTTACGCAACCTGTAGAGTATTACAGAACTTGTCAAGATCTTGCTTGCTTCCAGAGCGATTTTAAGCCATGTTTGCGGTGTGTTACTCAAACGATTGACTGTCTGGATCTAGACCTCATGTGTGCATGGTTACCAGACAATGCCACCTTTTGCATTGAATCTAGCAGCTGCAATGAGTGTGATCAAAAAAACAGGGTCATGTGTGCACCTGTCACACTTTGCAGACTATAACTATACTTGTGAGAGTGAAGAACAGAATGCAGAAAATAAAATATTCAGAGTCATTACATGTTAATTACTGGAGAATAATAATAAAAAAGAAACCAAAAAGACAAGAATGATGACAACAGCTACAAATTAATTGGTATAAAACAGAAGAACAAAAAACAAATGTGATTAAAACCTCCAAAAACAAAACAAATGAAAGAGCATAAAGGACTAAAGAAATTAAAGAAAAATAAAGCAATTGATCCCAGACCTCAATATTAGGAGGTAAACCCTCATATGATTTCCTGATCCCTAAATTCATAGCTTCATCCTTGCAGGAGTGGTAACCCTTTACACCCTAACATCCAGTATGCATATTCTTCATACTTTACTTTATACATTTGCTGAGGTGCTGACTAGGAGAATTTGTTTAACAATCATGAGCTTCATCAGCTGGAGATCATTTCTTTTATTCTCATGACTTTAAAGTGTGATTCAGAGTGATATTGTAAAGAGAAATTATATGCTGGCCATTCCTAGGGGTCAAAGGATTAGGAGGAGTAGCCAATACACCCTGTCATTCATTGCCACTGTAACCAGGATACACCCTGAAATGACAAGTCACTCCAATACTGTACAGACTTTGACTTTTGATTTCTTAGAATCCCCAAGAGCCAATGGATTGATATCAGAGCAAATGCAAGCATTTGATGGAATTATCCTGGATTTCATGAAAGAACAAGATATTCCTGGGGCTAGTGTGGCGATAAGTAGAGGTGAAGAACTGATATACTGTCAAGGTAAATACAAACTGAAAAGAGATAATTGTTAACCTTTTCAAACAATTTTTGTATTCTACAAATGGGAATTAAATCAATATACTTGTAGGAAAAGAAAGCTTTGAAATTGAAATCCAGCTTGCCCTTCAGAATTGGAGTGGAAATTGTTGCTTGTCTCTCATCCGAGATAAAATGAATATTAAAGATTCTTTGCAAAATTTTACTTTTTTTCCACATCCTGTGCCAACAAGGCCTAAGATTAGATTTACCATTAGGTAGAAGGTTAATACTGTAACCCCTAAGACTGGCCAGCATCCATTTTCTGCTAACAATCTCATCCCCTTAAGTCAAACATCAGGGTCATGAGAATAGTGGAAAAAATCACCACCTTAGGAAGCTCTTGATTGTTAACCCCTGTAACTCTTATAATTAAGTGAACAAATCCAAATTTCTCATTAGTATGTCAAATAGAAAAGTTATGAGTATAAGGAAAAGACCAATTAGGAGATTATTAGTTGATCCAATACAAAATTCTCAGAACTAATGTCATAGAAATTGTATGGTAGACAGTAAGGAGAATTACTAATGAGATCTTGGGAGTGAAAGGATCAAACAATTCTCCTTTTCATTACTTCAGAAAATGTATACAGAACAGTATGGAGAATATACACACTATAGTCAGGTTGTAAAGGATTGAAGCTTGGTATTGTAATCAGGTTGGGCACCAAAGAAAGAGGTTTTATTAAGGAGAGCAAAGGATTTGAAGGGATGCTCCACTGAATTTTTTCTCAAATGCAAACAACGATGGGTAAAACTTAATTCTCAGGGTAGACCAGAAAGAAAAAGAATTGCAACAGTCTGTTGAATGTGTACAGTCCTATTCAGGCCCCTTTTGACTTTTTCATTATTAGGCTATGGCTGTGCAGGTGCAGGAAGGAAAGTGCAACCAGAGTTAATGTTCAGAATTGCTAGTATCAGCAAAACAATTACTGCTGTTGGTGTTATGAGACTTGTTGAAGAAGGGAAATTGTCTCTGGAGGATAAAGTGTTTGGTCCAAAGGGTAATCTCCTTTTTGTTGGTTTGAGGAAAACTGTAAATCAGTTAAAAGTAGAGTTTGATCTCCATTTACATTCTGGAATGTTATCAGTATTTTAATTTGACGCTTTTTTGTTGAATAATTTCAAGTATGCAGCAAACAATCTTGAATTCAGTAATGATTGTTTAAGACATCATGGCTTGTGCTATCACTGTTTAATCTATAAAATCTTAAATCCATCTTTATTTTTCCTAAATAAGCGATACATTCATATTTACATATTTTATGATTATATTTATTTTCAAGGAATTTTAAAGGAGTACAATCCCACAGAAATTGGTGATATTCGACTCTTAGACATCACACTGAAACACTTGCTTCATCATTCCGCTGGGTGGGACAGAGACAGGGCTGGGGACCCTGTGTTCTGGAAAGTTGGAAAACATATGAATGTTGCTGAACCTGTGGCACCTTGTGTACTAATACAGTACATGATGGGAAGAAAACTTCAGTTTGCCCCAGGTGAGTACAATCGCAATGGAGTAGTAGAGGAATTACCATAAACACTGATGTATAAGCCACACTTTCAGATAAGCCACACCCTGAGTTTCACAACTCAAACTTTGGACTAAAAGTTTTTGAAAAGAAATCAAAAGGAGTAGATGAAAAAATACATCAGGAGTCTTTAGAAAGTTGCCTTAAATTCTTTATCTCATGAAAATAAAGATTTATTACCAAGTAGTATTTAGCTGCTTAAGGAAGGCCGAGAAGGTTTACTGCCACTCAGTAGCAAGAAAGATGAGGTTATGTATATCAACAAAAATGTTTCTTTAAGGAGCCACTACACTTGGAAAAGCAAAGATCAATTTATTTTCTTGTATATTTTATAAATATTTAATGGATAGTGTCAATTTATGCAAATTTGTGGCACATTTTCTAGATGCCATACCCCTGATTTGTTATATAAATTTTTGGAAAATTGGTGTGGTTTAAACACTGGTGTCATGTTATTGTATATTATTTAAAACTCAGTCCAGTTTAAATAGTTCACATCTCATAGTATCTCTGCCATCTGCATGAGGGAGAAGAAGTAGTGTAGAACTTTATTCTCTCTTCCATCTCAACACTTTCCCACCTTACTCATCTGTATTATTTGGGAGTTATTAATACTGAATTGAATGGATATGGGGTTATTTTGTGCTTAATAGCAATATCTAATAACACCCCTGATAACACACATCACAATAATTTTATTCCCCTTTTCTTCAACAAGAGAGGGATTCTTCTTCTTACACAGTCAAGTGAAAAGTCACTGAACTGGATCTTTTCATGAGGTGATTGGACATTACAAAGTATATGCCTAATTAATTTAAAATGCTATAGATGCTGAAATATCAATGGTATGAATAATTGTGATCAAATTAATTCAGAATTCTGCAGTAAAAACTATGATTTGTGGTGTAGCTATATTATTCACATGTATGATAAGCTGCCTTACTCCTTCATCCTTTTTATCACAGATAGTTATCTGAGTGTGTAGCATTTTGCAGTCACATACATGTGATTGTGTTGAACTTAATTCCTGTTTCATTGTTTGATTGTCTATTTGTGCATGTTATTTTGTTCTGTTGTGTTTTATTTTTAAATTGATTTTTTTTTCTTGGAAGGGAGAAGACATGCCTATTCCAATCTTGGTTATACAGTTTTGGGCCAAGTCATTGAGAGAGTGACTGATCAAGGATATGAAGAATTTATGGCGACTCTTTTGGAGGCCGTGGAAATAAAGCAAATGAAAATTGGTAGAACTCGCAAGAATGAACTCAGTGATGAGGAGGTAGATTTATCTTATTCCTCCCATTTTCATAAAATTATTCCCGACCTTCCCCACATCCACCCCCCACAGTTAGAATTTTGCGTGGTTTAGTCCCGGCTGGGTCATTGATTTGCTCTCTTACACCGGACACTGTGCTCCCGCGGTGCTTCCATTCAGGACTGCAAATTAGCTAGCGGCCTTTAAGACTAGAGGAACACTGAGGTCCCCCCTGTTGGAAGTCCGTGAAGAACGAGGGTTAACGAAATTAGGGCTGTCATTGAGCTTAAAAGTAGACGGCAAATAAAAAAATTGGTGTGCTTAGTCATCATTAACGCTTTTTTATTTCCTCAGATACACGCAAAACTAGGAACTATTCAGTCACAAAAGTGTCAGGCGTGTCCTTTGAGCGTGGGATTGATTCTCACATATAAGCCTCTTGATGGTAAATTGTACTTTCAATTCCGCTCAAAACAAAGAAATGACTGCCGCACAAATTTCATCATTGATGTTTCAGTAATTTGTAGATTTTTTCTTCGGTGAAGGATGAGGTGAAAATCACCGTCAGACTAGCTCGGGGTTTTGGCCGGCTACCGGCTCCCATTGACAGCCCTGCATGATAGTTTGGCACTGTTGTGATTCACTGAAATGGGTCTCTACTCAGTAGTTTTACCTTAATGGGTGGGTAGCTTTTATTGGACGGATTGGGAAAATTTAGATTCACCAGGTTGCTGGATATTGACTTAATCCTTTCTCCACCTGTTTTCCCAGGTGGAATATTTTCACAATCGTCACCCCAGGATGGTGAGGTCGATTTTTCCTGACGGCTGTAAAGTACCGCCACAGTACGGAAGGTGGACCATGGAAGAAGCGGACGCCCACGGGGGTTGGATCGCCACTGCTTCTGAGCTGTTAAAGTTTCTCCTCTCCTTAGAACCGGGTGTTAATGGGAAAAGAATCATCTCACACGAAACTTTCCAAAAAATGCTCGATAAGCCGTCATTTGAGAAGGATACAGAGGAATGGTACGGATTTGGTCTCGACATCCGGGACAATGGAAGCACTTGGGGTCACAGTGGACAGATGGAGGGTACCTCAGGTGTTTTGACACGACACTGCGAGGGGTACGCTTGGGCACTGTTGTTCAATTCTTGGGCTAAAGATCTCGATCTTGATGGACTGGTAAAGTACGCTTTGAGTAGCACTTTATGTGTATCAATGCAGCCAAGTTTAAGCGGTGTATTTCCAAGCAGTATCACAACGGAAGATAAACGACAACTGATTAAAATAATGGTGCCAAAACACGATTTCTGGCCATTGTACGAAGATGTAAAGAGTCGAGGATTTGATTTAACATGGCTAAACGCCTATAGATTTGCGAATGCTTTATACTTCAATATGATTTTTTTCCAGAACGTTTATTTAAATTCAGCCATATCTATTTATATTGGACTTACAAAGGATGCTTGCCGAGAAAGACTGAACAAGCTTGTTGGTCTACGGCCCGTCCATATCGAAACTTACGTTGATAACAACGACCTACTTTACGCTCTGCTGTTAACTTCGAATGATGGTAATGGAGTGTCGTGGACGTTAGATTTGGATCTCACCGTGGCTCAGCATCGAAAAAATATGCCTGTGATGTTTAAAAGTGGTTTTAACCTCACTGTACAGTGCTTGACCGAATACAAAGGCCGGTTGCATGTCTCAGTTCTATACGAAAAGGTCTTGAATGGCGAATGCATTGCAGAATTTGACTTGAAACCAGATTATTACCAGTTTGAATTTCACAAACAAGCAAAGGAGGGATTGATGTTATCTTACGCTAAGGCCTATAACGTGAAAGGTCAACCTCGATTTAGTGTGATTTGGACCAATGAGAAGGCAGAAATCAGTGGAACCCGACATAACGTGTCCAAATATGGGTTTTTGTTTGAACTGAGAGAAGCGGCGAAAAAGAACTTTTATGCTAAGTGTGTAAGCTGTTATAACAATGAAGATGTTCTAAACTTTTTAGCTTCTTGGAACAAATAAATCTAAACGTCCATTTTGTTCATTGAATGAAGCATTTATTTTTTCAGCATTTTTGTAGGAGAGAATTGTTTGAATTGTAGCGCACCCTACAATTGCTGAGCACCCCTAAAGTTATGCGTTCTTAACCAGAAAATTATACTAAAGTCTCTTCTGTATTATCGCAATAACTTTGAATGTACACATAGACCCTAAAGGTACCTGTTCAGTATGTCTCAAGATATTATGGGCATTACACATTTAAAAACCCATTCCTCGGAGGCATATTGTCAATAATGTTTCTCGTAAATTTATTTACGACAATGCTGCAGTTTCATCTGCAATGGTTCGCTTGTAGGCAAACTATATGTCGTGGTCAGTTGAATTCTGAAGTATTTCATCAACTCCTTGAGGTTACTGCTCCAAGCAGTATCGTCGTTTTACATTTGTATTCTGTGTATGCACATAGGTAATCTTGTCAAGGTAATCTTGTAGTAGCGATCGGAACAGACATTAGATATTTCATCATTTGAGTTCCAAATCTAGAGATTGATTACTCACTGAATAAATAGTTAAATATTTTGGGTTGGCTTCTGAACACCTTTACCTCTTTAAAGTGGATGTTTGCTATAATAGGGCTCCTAATGAATATGTTCGCAAAATTTCAAACTTGAAGTGAAAGATATAAGTGCGAAGAAAGGTCTTGTAACTCCCTGCCCAAGAGTGGCGGCATCTCCCGGGGGAATTCCGTGATCACTTACGTCCGAGTGTCACCGAGTTTTTCGTGACATCTGCCGCCAGAATCACGTTCAGTTACCCGAGGATTTAATATCACCTCTGTGCCTGAAAGAGTATTAGCATTTCTCTCTAGTATAATAATGTTTCTGTCCGAAATTCGAGGATATCCTTTGAACAGTCGTCCCACCATAAATTGGGGTAATTTAGCATTATCGACTGAGTTGATAACGTTAATTGGCCGCCGTAAAGAGTTAAAAAGTTGTCGTTTCGAGCGTTAGCCCTTCTTCAGAGCGAATGACGAAGGGCTAACGCTCGAAACGTCAGCTTTTAAACTTATTACGGTGGCCAATTTACGTTATCAACTTAATACTCTTCCGACGCAGAACCACAGAGTTTTAAGAAATTTACCCCTTTATCCACTATAAATCAGTTTAGCTCAGATTTAAAGTTTTAAGTACTCTGTTCGCTTGGGATCTTTTGTAGCATGTCATTGTTGACATGATGATCTAAAGACAACAAGATCCTATTCACGCATGATATATTATAAGAACTGCGGCGTTCAAGATTTGTCCTTGCGAAATACGAAATCCACGGGTGGGACGGGTGTGGCTGGCCCTCTAATGTATCTATGCCTATTGCGAGAAACATCCTGGTACATCCAAGAACGATCAGAAAACACGTTCAAATTGGGACAGGTGTGAATATTGACTGTGCCTTCTCTTCTTTCACGGGGCAACGAGGTAGTGTTAGCATGTGTTCCCGAAATTGAATGGCCAGTGACTTCGCTTATAATTTGTTTCTTCACGCGCAGTGTTGAGGGTGGTAAAGCTGGCAGTGGTTTCTTAACAAACGACTGGACTTTTGTTTTTAATTCGTTATTTTCCGACCTGGTACGAGTTTGAAGCTGATGCACCATCGACACTTTTCGGGACGCTAAGTCGCCAGGTTCAGATCGCGTTCGTAACCGTCCCATAACAACAGTGATGGACTCGAAGTCACCTTCTTCAGCGACTGATGGAGGCGAGAGTTCAAAATCATGTCCATTAGAGTTCTGCTTAGAAACTTGGTGGTTTTCATAATATGTAGATGTCAATGGGTCCATATCCAACGGAGCGTCAAATTTGTCGGATGCACTGTCATGTCTGGCCAGTTTAAAAACAGCATCCCTACCGAAATTTTGATTTTGCAATGTTGTTCCTCTGTCGGTTGGTTCCAAATCTGAGCGAGAAGCAAACATTGATAAAGGTTTCGGAGCCATAATTGGTGTCTCGTGACATCTCAGGTGACGCTCCATTGACTCCCCGATCAAAACAGGAAGTTTAGTTTCCTCGGTAACATCAGTGTGCGTGCTATCAGTTGCTTTGTTTCCACTTAATTTTCGGCCCCACTTTCTCTTGGTGTTATCTTCAAATATTTGTAGCTTCAAACGTTCTAGTTTACTCCTTTGCTCGTCTGTCATTCTCGTTGTATCCTCTGCCTGGCTGTCTGAAAAACTTCTATTACGAGTGATCTCAAGATCGGGCATTTTCAACAGAGATAAACCTTGAATGGAAGCTTGGAAACTTGCTCTGCGTGCGGGAAAATGCGACAGACGTTCTGTATTTTCATCTACCCCATTTTTCACCGCATTACTTCGATGAGACGAACAAGAGGAAATTAATCGATTATTTGATTCTCCATGTTTGCTCACCCGAGACATGGGTGGAAATGTCATCATCTCAACAGCCCTGTCGCTTTCAAAGAACCTTTGACCACTGTTTGGTGTACTAGCCATTGTTTCTTCATCAAAACCCCTTCCACACCAACTTAAACCATTCTGAGGCATAATTGATCCCGAGTCTTTTTCACCTCCGTCGCCGGACCTCCTTCTTCCAAGTTCCGTCGGGTCAGTTTTCTTCCGACTATTTGAGAGCTGTCGTGTCAACATGGCTTTATGGCGATGAATGTCGCTCACTCTTTCGTCGGTGGACTCCTGAGCTAAAGTTACTGATTTTTATCTACGTGATATTCAGTTTAACGACTACATAAATAAGAATTCTTTTCCGCATTTTGACTTTCGATACTCTCTTCGAATCTTCCCAATGTTTACGGCCGCTTTATCAGAAGCACGACTCACCCAGATGCCCTGGATGTAACGTTTTCTCTGTTAACGACCAAAATCAAGCAGAATCATTAATCCGATATTTTCACCCCTGCCGAGAGACAAACGCTGTTCAAGCACTCTTTTGTATAATTACTCCTTACTGCATGAATGCGTAAGAAATTGATTCCGCGCGATTAGCGTCTTAGCAAATTAAGCCCCGATTGGTAAACACATGATTATAAGTCACGATAGGCGGATAATTAAGGAGTTCGCATTATTTTGTACATACATCAGAGCAGCTGTCAGTACGTGTCAGCGATCTGTGGATTGCGTCGCTTCTATCAAAATTGACAACCACTCTTTGACTCGGACGGTGGTGAGCAGTCATAATAAGTTTGAGAAATTTTGCCTCCCTGACTAAGACTACACGTTGTGTAAACCACAGGATGCCACATTTGGCGTATTTCGACAAAATCTTTATTATAGGATTTGAAAACAAATTTTAATACCAAACGTGATCTACCGCAAAGGTTACTCCCATTTCAAAACTTTTTCCATAAGAAAGACACCATTTTTGACACGCTGAAAAGTGAAATTGTACACCACACTAAGATAGTCTCAGCATGTTATCGACCAATGCTGTGATCTTGCTTCTCTCGCTAGAATCGGGAAGGAACGACGATTAGGCTCTTTGACTGATCTTATTTGGAGGCACATACCTTCCTAAGGTCAAGTAGTTGAGTGTCCTCCTCTCCACATCCCGTTTTGCCAGCAACTAAAGTTTTTCATTTTTTTCTTCTTGAGCTCATTGTTCTTATAAACCTAAGTGAATCCAGTTAAGATCTGTAGAAAAATAGAAAATAAAATCTTTCTGACCAAAAATGCGAACATTTTACCAGGAGAATATGTTCATACTTGATTGAATTATTATTACAAAAATGCACGCTTGCCCATCATCTGATATAAAGATTCCAAAATGCGCTTTCTGTCGCCGCATGGTGACCTTTTAACATCAATGTAAACGACGCTAAAGTTTGTACGAAGTAAGAAAACATTCAAAACATTCAATTCTACTGTCTGTATGTATTTAGTAATTTACTTTTGTTTATTGAAAACTGCTTGATTAAACAAAATGAATTCATCCCATTATGATGGGTAAACAGTAAAAAAAGGTGTATGTCATGAAAAGGCAAGAGCGACCTGCACTTAAGGAAAGTTACAGCTGGGGCAGGTATGAGGTGCCTCATCTTCTGCAAAGCAGGTCTCTAAGCGTTTGCTCAAAAATACTTTAATTCACGATTTGCGATTATTCAGTAACTTACAAGGCTTATACTGAATTGTCACTTAAGGTTAAGTAATGATGACGAAGAAATGACTTTTTTTCTCTAATACCCTTGTTTCTAACGATATTTGAGAGTATGAAAAGGTAAAATTAAATGACGTATCTTTGTGCGTTTGATAGCTACCACTGACAAATTTAAAGTCGGCGCGGTTACGTAAGATTTAAGATGGCGGCAGTCGTGTTCGACTTCGCAAAAGGGAGAAATTCATTTCTTTTCGCTTTTCGCTCAGTTAGATGCTATTGTAACTCTAACTGTTTCATCACGTATCGTAGTATTGCGCCCCTATCAAGGCAGTCGCAAAATTCAAACCTTTCTCTCAGGAGACACTTTTGGTCTTCGAGACAAGACGATTTAACCCGAGCTCTCTCGGATGCCGAGAAAATTGTTGGCTATCCGACCTCATTCCTTAATTTAAGATACCTGTTGAACGATGAGATCTCTAACATTGCCATGTATATGAAGAGGTTCGCCATGAGCAAGCACCCCATGCTTCGCACGGCTCGAGGCTTCGTTTCGGACGACAACCAGACAACGCAAACTCGAGGACTTTTAGTGCTTCTCATGTCTAAGGCGTCTCGGTCATGTTTGAAAGACGAATGGAAGATGGATCAGGAACTGGTCGCTGATATTCATTCAAGCCAAAGACAGCTGGCCGACATAACCGAAACTATACACACAGGTGATTTGTGGCGGTTTCTCTTTGGTATTGTTTTGATTTTTAATTAAACATGACTGTGTAATGTTTGCTCACAAGAGTGACTAGTGCAGCTCAAAGGCATGGAGCTAGTAAGATTACTGCTACCGCTCTTTAATTGACGAAAGACCAATTACAAGTTTCCCTCCGTATTTTATCAAGTTTCTCTCTGTGTAGTGAGTCACTGATAGTGTCACTGTCTTACCCAACAACACAACATAGAGCTCAAGTAATAACTACAACCCAGACCTTTGATCTTGAACCCCATATTTATTGATTTTTCCCTGATGAAGGGCCAGAACCCCAAACATCAGCTTTGAAACTCTTTATGGTGGCCAATTTACTTTATAAACTCAGTTGATACTACTAAATTACCCTGTTATACTCTCCCACAAACACAGCACCACAGTTTCTTTAGAAACTTACCCCCTTTATCTCATATTTATTGTTTAGTTCAGTACAGTTAGCTAGCTTGTTTAGGATAGCTTGATTGCAAGTCATAAAAATTCTAGTGGCATCTATGAATTTTTTAAGTGTGTCCCTCCATAGTTGTGTGGTTGGAGCCATGTTACACATGAAGATATTACCAACTAGGGAAAGTATCTATTGTTATCTATCCCAACAATATGTACCTGGGTACTCTATCTTAGAGATCTCTCAGGAGTGGTTTTGGGTTTAAATATTCAACAGGAAGTTACAATTCAACTAAGTCCTTGTTCTCCCATCTTTCAAATACCTGCTGATTCTGTGTTTACATAGTAGTTATTCACTTCTCTGTAGTTATCAGGGGAAAGAAACTTTTTCTCAGCAGAGGATGTCTAAAAACTATGTTTTTGGGAAAAGAGATTTTGAACGCCTTCATGCAAATGCCCAGGAGTATTCTGGACCTCCCTCTCCATGGTCCCCCCACCCCATGCCAGGAATTGCTCCTGGTAAGTGCATTACCTACACTTGTTTTAAACTGCAAAAACTTGACTAATATGTCACTTATAATGTTCTTTTATGACAGCCAACCTGGTGCATACAGGAATTGTTGATTTAGCGAGTATCTCTTCATCCAGCAAATCTTATCAAGATGACATGGAATTTGGTAACAAGATGGCAGTGTTAAGTGGTGACTTTCTTTTAGCCAATGCTTGTACAGGATTAGCAGAACTTAAAGACACTGAAGTCGTTCAAATGATTTCAGAGGTAATTGGACATTTGATGGAAGGCGAATTCCTGAAAATCACATTTAATGCTGATAATTTGAACTTGGAGTTTTGGAGTGAGTTATCATTCAAATGTAAAGGAAGCTTGATGGCAAACAGCTGTAAAGCAGCTTTGAAGATTGTTGGTCACTCAGCTGAGGTGAGGATTGATTTATGTCATTGTGGTGATAGTGTGGCACTTGACATGTTTATGTATTTGAAATTTTTGCATCAAACCAGTCATAGTGTCATCATCTGCTATCAACTCACACTTACTATTACAGCCATTTCACCTCCAGATCTCATTAATAATTCTGCTTACTGTCTACCAACCAATTTGTATGATGTTAGTTCAGAGAATTTGGTACTGGATCAACTAATAATCCCCTAATTGACATTTCATTTCATTCTCATCACTTGTCTGCTTGATATTGCATTGATTATTGTAAGGAGAAATTCTGTCTTAGTCACTCATGGGAGTTAAGGGTTAAGGGATTTGAGAAAATGTTACTGCTATTCTAAGGAGGTAACATCAAATACAAGTGTTTTGTTGGCTTGTCTCAGGCCCTCTGAACCATCAAAACCACAAACTATGTGAACTTTGCAGAAATATTGGACTATGGTGAAAAGTTCACATTATTATTAGACATTTGCATTTACACATAGTGCAGCCTAATTCAAAATGTATGTTGAGTTATGAATACTTGTCATTTGTGGTGCTATGTAAATAAATGATGTACATGTACACATAGTTATGGGTCTTCTGTGTTTACTTGTTTCATGGTTCAAATGCTTTCCCACAAACAAGAAATGTAGCTTTCCATGTTGAGGGTATTCAAAACAAGGGAAATCAGCTTAATTGTTTGAAATTGCCAGACTATGGAGGCAACGCCTACCACATTATTTGAAATCAAGTATTTCCAATGTGAGTCTACAAAGTAAAGGCCTAGAGGTGACTTTTTGGTGCTTTTCTATTCTTTTCAAATAATCTAGTAAGTAATTTCTTTCTATTTCAGCTTCAGGAAACTGCATTTGAATTTGGCAAAAACATTGGTTTCGCTCATCAGTTGAAGAAAGATCTTCAAGCCTTACATGAAGAAAAATCTACCACTATCCTCCACACTGCACCTGTAATTATTTCCAGTAATCAAACTGAAGTGAAAACATTGATCATGCAAATATTACTAGAAAAGAACACAGAGAAGCTGGATCATTTGCTTCAGGAACTGTCCTCTATTGCATCCCAGGGAGAAACATTAACAAAGATGAAAGACCTGAGTTTGGATTATGGAGAGAAAGCTCTTCAATCACTTCAGCTGTTTCCAGACTCTGATGCAAAGCAAGCATTAATTAACATAGCAAATTCATGTACTTTACAAGGGTAAAGTAACATGAAATTGAAAGTAGCATATTTATTTTTTTATGGTAAGTGAGCTTAGTAAGGAAAATATGTTTACCCTTTCTTTCAGCAGAGGAAACCTGTCAATCACTTTTGTCAAAGAAAACTGTAAGAACCAATCAAAGTGCATGCGTAATTCAGCTTATCTTATGGAGAGAGATCCACCCTATTGTTTCATTAGGAATTAGGTACGACTTGCATGTATACTTGAGTGTATATCATAGAGGTGACTTATGGTGTATTAAGAGTATTCTTCTGCTGATTTACACTAGCAATTTTTTCTTGACAAGTTTTTTCTTGACAAGCTTTTTATGCATATTACTGATGAAAAAAGATGACCAGAATGTTTCCTTGAACAAGTCCTCCTTGCGAAAAAAAACTGTGATCTTAGTTTTTAAATAAAGAGGAATGTCTAGGAAACTATAGTTTGAAACTTTTTAGTTTCTATGACTTGAAAAAGGGAAATTCAACTGTTGCCCTGGTTCTATGTAGTAAATTGCTTAGGTTTAGGGCTAGAATTACTTTTTCATTTGATAAGAAATAGGTCTTAGAAAAGATGAACTTTTGAGGGAAGCCTTTATCTCATGACTTGCTTGATCTCATTCTGTTTACCATGCCCTGAGAGTGAAGTAGCCATGTCACTAAAGAAGGTCATTAGATTCCGAACATTTACGGTGTAAACGTATGATATCTTGAAAACACTGAAACTGGCTGGGTCAACACTTGTTTAATTTCAACCTACAGAAGCTTCATCGTGAAAATCTACTTGTTTTACCATAACTTTTAAATGGAAAATAGAATCCCTTTTAGTTCCAAACTCCTCATGAAGATTTTTGGTCATCAGCCTTATCCCGCTGAATTATCTTGGTAAATTAATCACCCAGCCACACATGTGAACTCTGCAAAGGAAAAAGTAAGCATACAGTTTGATGCTGATTGGATCGTAAATAAACATTACATTTAAGGCGCTAAAGAATGATGATAAAGAAAAACTACCTACATTTAGCGTGCAAATAAGCTCTCAGTGACAGTTTCCTAGGGATATGATGTCAAAGCTGAGCTGGAGAAGTAATCAAAGTGTGCCTAAAGGCGGTGGTCTCAGACATCAGGGGTACCCAGCACTTAAATCTTCACATTTCAATTCGTTCGCAGCGCACGAGTCAAAACATTCGCAGACAGCTGGACGTAAAAAAACTGCTGTAGCATTATGTAAGATTATCGTCTTTTGATATTCCCATCAGCAAAGCAGGTTCATCGCTTCTTCAACAAAAGCAGAAGCCCACCTCGTCTTGAAGTTAATCAACGTGAATTTACGGTTAGGTTTAAAAGACAAGAAGTATCGGGAAGATATTCGCCAATTCTACTCGAGGCATATTTCCGTGACCCGTTTAGGATCGCTTAGACCAATTGCGGATGTGCGAAAACATTTGATGAACTATACTTATTAAAAGTGTTCAATACCCTAAAGCTTTAGTAACGAGTTGAAGTTGTTACGGTAGGGTAGCTGAGTTGTTGCAGGCTACTCCCAGAATATCGCCGATTCTGTACTTCATATCAGCAAATTCATAGACATAAAACCAGTTGCTCTCTCCGGCCATCTCGTTCAGATCTTCTTCACGAATGGTTGGACCAACACCGAATGCCAACACTTTAGCGTCTTTTCCGTCCTAAAATGGAATATTTAATTGCATTATTGTACGATATTAAACATTAAAATCAAGATACTTTAAACTGTCTCTCAATTAAAACTAAATCGTACTGGGGCGTATCCAGCTTTTTGACTTGTAGGCGTTTTCAGAAATCTGGAAGAGTGATAACCTATTGAGATTTATTCTTGCTGCTTCTCTGTTACCTAAGAACTCAAAAGTATGTCGTAAAGAAAGTTTTATTTTTGGTTGACGTGATTGGTTTTAATTTTGCATCTGATTGGTTGAGAAAAAGGTGTGACTTTTCTGAACTAGTCACAGAGCAAATTAAAGGAAACCCGGATTACATTCAACACGCAAATTGCTTGATTGTATGTAATGATATTATAACAATTAATCAGTATTCACTTCCTACCCGTAGTGGAGGAACAGTGACGTTGAACGGTTGAGAGCCCCTCATTGTTTTTCCATCAGTTATAACCACAACCACATTAGAGGCATCCGGCCTATCACCACCTTCCGCCGTGAAGACGATCTGGTCAGCGGCAACCAAAGCTTTATCGGTGTAAGTACCCCATGAGACTCTGTCAGGAATTTCTGCGATTGTATCGTGTGTCTTGTCTGTTCCTTGGCACATAGAATCGGAGAACTTGCATCGGACTTGAGGTTTGCCGCTGAAGGTAATGATACTGAAATGAGTTTCAGGTTCGAACTGATGAATGAATTGCACCAGGAAGGATTTCACACGGAGAAAATTCTGAACTCCAACACTCAAAGAAGCATCCACAATCAAACAAACGTCCAGATTCTTTTTGGTACACGGTGTTGGGCCTGGAAGGAATTTTAGAAAATATAAAAAAACAGGATACGAACCTTTATACGACTTGTACGAGCGTTCCGTTTTGAAAATAATTACGTGATTAATTTCAGAGCTTCCTCAAGGACAAGATCCATTTGCAGATTACTGATCTTCTTTCATTTGTCCTTGCTGTTTTGTTTTTTTTTTCTGTTCCGTTGATTTTGTTTATTTTTGTTTCGTAGTATTTGTTTACCTTCATAATATTTGTGTTGTCGTTTTGCTATTTCTCATGTTTTCATGTTTGTCCCCTTCAGTTGTATTACTTTGTTTTCTCTTGTATTAATATTAAATTGGTTTTTGTTTCGTTATTCTTTTTTGCCACTTCTTATTTGTATTTTTCTGTTTGCTGGGTTTAATTGGTCTGTTCCGTCTGTTTACCTGTTGGACATTCTCCCTCATTACACTCCACTGTTTCCACACTGTCTCCCAGTCTAGAACAGTCTTTGCCCTTTTTTTTTGGTGGAGGTGCACTGCATGTCCTGCTTCGTACTTTGACCCCCACTCCGCACGTGGCACTGCAAAGTGACCACTGACTCCACTTTGAGTACCCTCCATCCACCTCTGGATTAGAGAAAGGGGACCAATCATGACAAAACTACAAGCGCTTCTACTAATGAGAGAAGAGCTCTTCCATTGGTAATCATGAATTTACAACTCTCTTGTTTTTAGGGACCGGTCATTATTTATTGGGGGGGGGGAGGTGGTGTTTGTGTCACAAAGAAATTATTTAACTATTCCCCCTTTAATGAAGCCCCCTCGAGTATTGCAAAATTTCCTATTATTTAAAGCAAAAACTTAGTTTGCCTGCTTGATTTCTCGTGATTACTTGTCATTCTGAAGAATTAACCCGCCCCAACCGTCAAATGGAGTAGAATTCAAACCTCCCCCTTTAAAACGGCTTATTTTCAACCATCAACCGTTAGTACTAGTGGGTACTACTCCATAAGGATCCTCTTTAATAAATACTCAACTCACAAATCGGCTCACAAGAGGTTCATTGGCAACGCATTCCTTGTGTACAGTAAAGCGATACAAAAGTAGCAACAAGTCGAAACCGGAACTCAACGACGCATTCGAAAAAAGCTTAAAAGTGTTCTGTAATGGTATCTTTACTTACGACAGACTGCTTTCTTTATTTTGCCAACCATTTTTCTGATTTGCCTCGGCCTTGGAACGAGGATCGCATTGTCACCTGCGATTTCTTGGAGTTGAGTCATGTTCAATCTAGATGGAACACCGTAACCGACTGCCACCATATGACATTGTTTCTTTTCCTTTACACAGACAAGCAAAGTTCACGTTATGAACGATAGGTATGATAGCTTGATAGCTTGCTGACATCAAATAGACTTGAAATTCTAAATTATTTAATTCTATGATATACGATGATGTGAACGCAACTGAAATTATATTCATTCAACTTCACACCTTCCTAGGAATGGTCCTTAAATTCTATACACTGTTAGCACCAAACCGACAACCGGACAAACGAATTAAAAAATCAAAAGTGAAAAAAAAAACAACAACAAACGAAACAAAAACGACAAAAAAAATCAATAATACAGGGGCTTGGATGGAAAATTCAAAATATACGAACGAACACACCAAACAAATAGTAGACATGTTGCTCACCCTTAGCGGAGGAACAGTCAGTGAGAAAGGTTTTATACGTCTCCTTGGCCAGGCTCGCCCATCAGTGAACGTCAGAAGGACATTTTGTCTCTTCCTTCTGTCACCTCCCTTAAAAAGCCATATCATAAACATAAAATGAATGACCCATTACCCAGAAAAACTGAGCAGCTCGTAAAATTGAAATTATTTGAAATTTGAACCAGCGTTAAGAAGAGAAAATTATGGAAACCAAATGGACCAACATCTAAAGTAAGAGGAAGTAATCTCGCTAAAAGACATCTTATTAGATTGCTATACACGTCCAACTGAAAGTTCCTTTACACATGTACCTTTTTGGTGAACAGCTGTTTGTATGCTGCAATAAGTCCTTTGTCTGTCCGCGTCTGCAAATAGACACTTGGGTCCAGTTTTTTCACGAAGGCAGTCGCTTTCTTTAAAGATCTGGAGTTTGGCCCATTGAATGGAGCATAGACATTTGCACTTTTGTCGTACTTAATTATACCAATATTGGTCTTGCTTTTTGAAATACCCATGCGTTTGAAGAATTTGGGGAAGAAAACTTTTAGAAGGCGCTCGAGGTTTCTTGTTCTAACGCTCAATGAGCGGTCGATAACAATGCCAAGGTCCAGGCCCTCTTCACATGGAGCTGGCCCTGTCATGGAGATTACACAGAAAGAAAACGAGAATACAGAATATGCATACTTTCTTGTCATTGAAGTAAATTCATGACGTGCTGTCGTAGTCAAATTTCCTCCATGGATATAATTTTGTTAAGAGGGAGCTAAGATGACCTCGGATTGCCATAAAAAATTGGTGAAGTTGGACTCTGTGAAAACAGATGTATATATATATTCGAATTCGACTGGCCAGTCTTCTTTCGGCTGGTTCATCTTTAAGTTGCTGATTATTTCTCATTGATTTCTTGAGCCCCATAAGTCTTCAAGTTATAGCAACATTATCAGTCTACGTGTTTACGATTGCCAAGGCCTATCGCCACCATTACCAAAACATCGTTACCGTTATCATCATCATCATCATCCTCACCGCTGACCAGTACTGATCTAAATACTGCTTGATGAGGACAGATTTTTGTTTTGCCTACCTTTCGCACATTTCGGCAGTTTGCATTTCTTCACTTCCTTGGGTTTACCCAAGCGATCACAATTTTTACCCTCAGCATTCGGTGGCGGGTTAGTGCAAGATCGTACTCGTATTTGTGTACCCGTACCACAGGTTTTACTACACTTAGTCCATGTCGTCCAGCGAGTGTATCCGCCATCAATTGCTATTGTTTCAAGTGAAAAATTGAATAAAAAAGATTGTGCAGAGTTAAATGTATTGGAAACTTAACTTATCTGAGCCTCTCATATTTCTCAATGTTTTTGGTACAGATTTGCTTTCTTTCTTTAATTCAGTAACTATCTGATATATTTCGTGATGCTTAAGTTTGGCAATTCTAGAACCTTGTCTATTATTTTGTTTTTCAGTTCTTGATATGTCATTCTTGTGCAATAGCATGATGAATGTGGGGCTCCTTAAAGAGGATGCTATTTGATAGCAGTTCCCAAAACGTGTAATTCCAAGGAGAGCGATTTTTTTGTCATTAGGGACGTCAAGGCTGAGCAAAAAGCAGTTCCTCTAAGCTTAAATAAATTTTTAAATGGAACCTTGAAGAGCCTAGAACTGGGTCGACATAAACTTGGGTCACCGTGGTCTCTTACTCATTATTTATACTTGAATGCAGATCGAAAGACTCTAGATCAAAACTTGGCCGCGTCATTGAAAACCAGTGTTTTTTTCTTAGGTAAGGATAAGGGTTTGAGTGCCTTTTCCATCATATCAGCACCTGTATCCTGTCATAAAAATTTTAGGATTGCTGGAGATTTACTTGTAATGGACAACCATTCTGTTGAGGAGAAATAGCAAAACACGCACGAGAAGTAAAACTTAACCTTGACCGGAAAAATAAAATTAACAACTACATGAACTTCATCCTCTGGTCCGTGTGACTTATTTAGACCTATAACCTACATGTTTTACACTCCGGAAGGTCACAGGCCACTTGTTCTTCATCTGGTCCTATTTCGTCACAATTTTTTCCACCTCCCATTGGCTCCGGATTCGTACAGTTCCTGGATCTTGTTCGGAAGCCCTCACCACACGTTGCACTGCATTCTGACCAGGGAGACCAATGTGTGTAGCCACCATTTATAACTGAAGAGAGAGAGAGAGAGAGTCAAGGCAGAGAAGGTCCGCATATACATCCACTTGAAACACAGATAGGTCATCTAACAGAACAAGGGAAAAAAACCGAAGAATTGAAGCCGCTGACCAATGCTAAAGTCAGATCGTCGTTAGTTACTCGTAAGTCAGTCAATCAGTCAGTCTGTCACTCTGTCTGTCAATAAGTTAGTAGATCAGTCAATTAGCTAGGGAGCCCATGGGTATTTCAGTCAGCGTGTCAGTTAGTCAGTTAAACGGTAAACTGGTGAGCGAGTCAGTGAGTCAATGACTCGATGAGTCAATGAGTCAGTGAGTAAGTGAGTCAATGGGTCAATGAGTCCGTTGAATGAGTCAGTGAGTCAATGAGTCAGTGAGTCAGTGAGTCAGTGAGTCAGTGAGTCAGTGAGTCAGTGAGTCAATGAGTCAGTGAGTCAGTGAGTCAGTGAGTCAGTGAGTCAGTGAGTCAGTGAGTAAGTGAGTCAATGAGTCTGCGAGTCAGTGAGTCAGGGAGTCAGTGAGTCAGTGAGTAAGTGAGTCAATGAGTCTGCGAGTCAGTGAGTCAGGGAGTCAGTGAGTCAGTGAGTCAGTGAGTCAGTGAGTCAGTGAGTCAGTGAGTCAGTGAGTCAGTGAGTCAGTGAGTCAGTGAGTCAGTGAGTGAGTCAGTGAGTCAGTGAGTCAGTGAGTCAGTGAGTCAATGAGTCTGCGAGTCAGGGAGTCAGTGAGTCAGTGAGTCAGTGAGTCAGTGAGTCAGTGAGTCAGTGAGTCAGTGAGTCAGTGAGTCAGTGAGTCAGTGAGTCAGTGAGTCAGTGAGTCAGTGAGTCAGTGAGTCAGTGAGTCAGTGAGTCAGTGAGTCAGTGAGTCAGTGAGTCAGTGAGTCAGTGAGTCAGTGAGTCAGTGAGTCAGTGAGTCAGTGAGTCAGTGAGTCAGTGAGTCAGTGAGTCAGTGAGTCAGTGAGTCAGTGAGTCAGTGAGTCAGTGAGTCAGTGAGTCAGTGAGTCAGTGAGTCAGTGAGTCAGTGAGTCAGTGAGTCAGTGAGTCAGTGAGTCAGTGAGTCAGTGAGTCAGTGAGTCAGTGAGTCAGTGAGTCAGTGAGTCAGTGAGTCAGTGAGTCAGTGAGTGAGTCAGTGAGTCAGTGAGTCAGTGAGTCAGTGAGTCAGTGAGTCAGTGAGTCAGTGAGTCAGTGAGTCAGTGAGTCAGTGAGTCAGTGAGTCAGTGAGTCAGTGAGTCAGTGAGTCAGTGAGTCAGTGAGTCAGTGAGTCAGTGAGTCAGTGAGTCAGTGAGTCAGTGAGTCAGTGAGTCAGTGAGTCAGTGAGTCAGTGAGTCAGTGAGTCAGTGAGTCAGTGAGTCAGTGAGTCAGTGAGTCAGTGAGTCAGTGAGTCAGTGAGTCAGTGAGTCAGTGAGTCAGTGAGTCAGTGAGTCAGTGAGTCAGTGAGTCAGTGAGTGAGTCAGTGAGTCAGTGAGTCAGTGAGTCAGTGAGTCAGTGAGTCAGTCAGTGAGTCAGTGAGTCAGTGAGTCAGTGAGTCAGTGAGTCAGTGAGTCAGTGAGTCAGTGAGTCAGTGAGTCAGTGAGTCAGTGAGTCAGTGATTTAGTGAGTCAATAAGTTAGTGAGTCAGTGAGTCAATGAGTTAGTGTGTCAGTGAGTCAGTGAGTCGGTGAGTCAGTCAATTGGTCAGTGATTCAGTGAGTTAGTGAGGTAGTTAGTCAGCGAGTTAGTGAGCCAGTGAGCCAGTGAGTCAGTTAGTAAGCGCGTAAGTTATTCAGTGAGACGATGAGTCTGTGCGTCTGTTAGATAATTTAACCAAGTCTGGAAGCAAATACTTACTACAAACTTCAGCTAATATTTCGCTTAGCTTGCTAGCGAGAATACTGAAATCTGCAACTTGCACCACCGAGCCACGTTCACCGGCAATACTTTGAAGTTCCTCTTTTTTAATGCCTTTTCCGATACCAACTGCTATTATATTGACACCTTTGTCCTGAAATTTAGCAGAAGAAAGTCTTTACCAGTATCATTGCATGTACTCAAAGAACTTACCCCTCAGTGGTTTATGTGCAGCTTCTTTGGATTAGTGACGCTCAGAATTTATGGAAGATATTTGGTATATCTTCCGTTTATTTTAATTTTTAGTGGTTTCAGTAATCATTCTATGGAGTTATCTAGTTGTGCCACGTCCATAGACTAGGGTGTCTCTCCGAGCTTTATGATATAATTACTACAACGGACTTGCCAAAGAAGATCCTTCCAGAAGAGGTATGGTTTTAATCAAGTAACCGAGGGTAATGAACAATTTCATTTGGTGTTTCAATGTATCGAGGTGTAAAATATTGCCGGAGTGTGTATAAAAGGTGCCATTTTAGGTAAGAAGTGACGCATGAATATCAGCATGTGATACCAGTACAAAAATGAAAGTTACTTTGCCCTCTCTTCGTCGTTGTGAGGGGGGAAAACTTGAATCTCTGATAACTTTCAAGGGCTACTTTTCAACTAAATCATGATCACCCTTGACACATATATGATACATCTTACTTCAAGTGGAGGGACCGTCTCGCTGTATGGTGCTGACTCCGACGCAGTAGCTCCATCCGTCAACACCAAAAGCACATTTGGTTTCTTACGTCTGTCCTGTCCCGGGTGAAACATATGATCATGGGCTTTCATCAGGGCTAAATCTGTCCGCGTGGCACCGTACAGTTTGTCTGGAAGACTATCGATTGCATCTTTTACTGCCTTGTTGCTGTGGTAACTGGGATCGCTCAGATTAAACATATGAAATGGCGTACCGGCAAAGAAAATCAGCGATAGGTGAGTTTCTTCAGGTTGGATGTCGAAGTTGTCCACGAAGCTTTTCACAGCTTCCTTCACAATGATGAAGTTTTCCTTTCCGACACTTTTGGATCTGTCTACTATGATTCCCAAATCTATTCCACCCTCACAGGGATTAACTGAAAGAATCGAAAAGTTTTCCCATTTTAATCTATGTGGTCGTTTCAATAATCTCGCATTCACGAAATATGGCGCTTGTTTAGACTTATGACCATTTTCGTAGTTAACGCAATAACCCCAACAATCCAAACTATCTTCCCACGTTTTGGTTGCGGAATGCCTAGCCGTAATGCGATTGCAGCGTTTTACCAATTGGTGTTTCCACAATTTTCATCCTGAATATCTGAATAACTTGTCTTATATCACATGGATAACACATGATTTCAATGTTACATATTATTTTCTCAATACCTTCACCTAACAGCCTTGTATGGCCTTGAAAAAAAATTCTCTACCTTTTAGTTTTACAACGCTACAGTTTTGGTCCGTTCAATATGAGATGCTACAATTTAAACTTTTGGCCGACAATTTTTTTAGATTTAGTCATCGCATGCAAATCATGTTAATATTCATAGACTTAACGACAGAAATAGTGATATTGACTACAAAGCATTTTAGCTAGCTTTGTGCATTGTTACAGAGAACCGTGAGTTACTCAGCACAGTGATAATTTCCTTACCGACTTGGCCTTTCACAGTTTGTCCTAAAACAAGAGAGGCAAATACGTTAGTGAGTGTTGTCTACACCCATACCGCATTAATATGAAACCTCAGTAAAACAAAAAACAGACGAACTGAACAAGTGCGTTCGTTTTAAAGACCTTTCTTCAGATTAGATCTCGTCCAGTTTTGGAGATAGGAGTGGCATTCGATAGATTTGACCATAAGATTCCCAGAATTCTATCCGACCCAGTGACGAATCTCCACAACAACATAAGAAAATAAAATGCATTTCGGAATATCAAAAACGCGCCAGGGGTATGTTGTTAAAAACATGATCAAGCATGTTTTCAAACGTACATTTCCGAAAAAAAAGACCGTTGGCCGTTGTTAGCAAGACGGTGTCCAAAGCGATCCTTAAATAGTTGTCTTTTTGTATAGCATTATCTCGCCAAAAGCAACCAGTTATAAGGTAATTTTAACGTCTTGAACTAAACTCAAATGAGCTTTGAGATGATTTGATTTTATCAACTGCATTAATAATGAAATTGGGCAACGTAAAGACGTTATAAAGTTGTCGTTTCGAGCGTTAGCCCTTTTTTTTTGAGAGGATGAAGTTAACGTTACCCTGGTTGGTTCCTCTTGTAGTTAACTTACCATAAATTGATGCCATTACCATGATGGCAACTAGAGGCAAGTTTCGCTTCATTTTAACCTGTTAAGATTGATTAACGAGACAATATGAACAAGGATAATTTCGGTTTCTCTGACCAAATACAACTCAATTCTATTCTTGTGAGAAAGACCGAGGCAAAATAATATAATATCGCGCGCAGCTGGCCTCTCTTGTTTCCAGGCTATGTAAAATATTTACTCTTGGCTTAAAAGATAATGGATCCCCTCCCCGAAAACCACCCATTAATTCAAAACAAATGATAAGACAGTTTTTTATATCTATTTATTTTGCTTTAAATACTATCGCATTTACTAGTTAAGGCAGAAATGCAAACAAATCAATTATTTTATCCTAATAATCTGTTCCATCTCTCTGTGGATTGGCAGGAAAGAAGGCGAAATTTTGCCTTTGAGTTTTAGCAAACACGTCAGGAAATTTATCTCAATCTAATAACAAGGATATCTTCTGAGCTCTTCACCCGAAATCATTCATCAGGCGCAAGAGTGAACACATTTTCAAAAGACGTCCACGGCTGGACTCGTTTCCTATTCTCATTACTTAAGTTTAAAAATTAAACTCGAACTGAATAGAATTTTTTTTTTATAAAATGTCTGACACGTTTTGAGGCAGATGTCTCGTTTGATATCCACGTTGAAACAAATTGTAAGTGCAAAGATCAAATAGGAAGGCAATAATTCATGGCATTTGCATAGGTCTAAGTTTAAAAATTAAATATTTTGCATCCTAATTACATCCTGCTTTAAAAAAATGTAGGTAACATGGTGTTAAAACTCTTCGGTGTGAAATGAACGATTTTATTGATCTCCGTGTCTTTCAGGAATTTAAAGAATCGGCAAAATTGTCTTCTTCGTTGCATTTCGTTGATGAGAAGTGCGTCTTCCACTTAATTAAGTAAATTTCCAATTTCAATTGATTTTTGAACGAATAAAAGTCCCATATAGAACCAAACTGGTTCAGTTAGTCCTGATCAATTCTACAACGTTCGAAAAAAATCTTATCCGAAGAATATAAGGCCTATTTGGCTTCATTTAATGAAATAGAGTTTCAAACGAAGGATCGTCATACAAGAGTAAAGGCCTGAAGCATAATCTGAAGAGCAGGTAATCAACTTACATATAAGTGTGGGAAAGGTTATGACTCTTTACAACTTCTCGTGGAATCATTGATTGTTTATGAAAAATAAGCAACAGGCTGACCTGTTAAAGGGGTGTACTTTCTTAACACCACTCGGCCTCGATGAGGCATCTACATTTGAAAAGTATATTTCTTTATGATAACCTTGGTAACGTTTATCCATCTCAAAAACACGTATATGTGAGCACTGTTGAATTTAAACATAATTCTAATTTCTTTTTCAGGCTATGGCCATGTGTCAAAAAAAAAATTGTCACAAAAAAATAGATGAATCTCCTTTCTTAATATCGAAAACGTACTCTCCTCTATTCCAGTTTGAATTCACTAAGCATTCTCCTTGTGGAGCCAGGTTTTCAATTTCCATTAAATTCATTGTAAACACAGCGACAATGTGTTGATCCATAAACTCAGTTACGCATTTAAGTGTAATATATATCTCTACAAATTTTCCTAAACACATATAACTTTCTTGACAGCTGCGTGAACCTCGTTCCAAGCAGTATTTTCGCGATTGTTCAAAGAGGGAAAAAAAGCTTGACATTTGCCAACAGGCAGGCTTTCACGCACTTTCCCTGTGTCTGCTTCGGAAAGATAATTAAAAGCATGGATATCATATGCCTCATTATCTTTCGCTTTCAATCGACTAGAGACTAGTTTTCAACGGTAGTGGTTATTTTTGTCCTGAACAGCATAACGAGCATTTTCGGGCGTTCCTACAAATGGAAAGCTCACAGGGCTTCCAGTTTATGAGTGATGTAGACTTTTCCTGAGGTATTAAAAAATCTAATAGTCCATGGAAAAAGATTATTCAAAAAGCTGCGAACCTTAGCACATGGCAAGTCTCGAACTCAAATAATTGTTTTATTTTATGTCTGCTAGTGTACGAGGTGTGATGGATGATAGAGACGCGATAATCATATGTACAACATTTTCGCGTTCGAGTCACAAATAGGCAAAGAAGAAATCGCACTAGAACCAATTTGACGAAGAAAAATTGTGTACAGAACGACGAAAATTCAGACCCCTTCATTTACAGGCAAAGCCGAATTGAGATATATATCCATACATGCAGGTATGGATGCACCTCCACATCACATCGAATTAACCATATCTTAAGTGTTATGGAAAATGTCTAATAAACTGCTCTAACCAGTTTTCAAAGGTTGCGCACCTTACGTTAAAAACCGATATAGAAAAAAGCAGGCATTTTCAACTCACCATCCCTCGAGTGAAGAGGTACCTCTTCACACTGCAGCGGAATAAAGACAGAAACAACTAAGTTAACGTGTAGTGAGTTTTGTAGCCAGAAAGAGAACATTCTTGATTCACATAACAACCATTCAGTTGCTACGGAAGCTGCTGCTCAAGTATTGCGTTATTAGCGCTGTTATTGGTGGAAACCTTGGACAGCCAAAATATGACAATCAAAGGAGGGTGTAAGGTTTAAATTTATGGCCTTGGCTGATTTCTTAAGAAACGATTCTTTTTGGTTGCATCAAGATGTTCAAACCATTCATGTTGTGTCCATTTCTTGTAACCAAATGTATGTAAGCCGTGAATGAATGATTAGTGTATTGATTTGATTTGATGACTATTTAGCGGAACCAGGGTATATGGATGATTTTGGTGGATTTGGAATTCATATCAAACTTTGGGTTGGGATTTTGCTAACAATGGCACGATTTTTTTAACCTTTTATGGGCATTGTCATTGTTGACAGCTTTGAGGCTCTTTTGTTATAAGAGCAAAGGTTTGAAAGAACCGACGCGTATCCGATTTCCGAGCGCGAGATTCAAAAACTTCGTTAATGACCTGAATGTGACAAAATCTTTCTTTCTCGGGATGGGCTTAGGGAGAAGTTGTCTAGAGCAACGGCAAACTTGCCGGGGAACGGAAGGGTAAATTTGTTACATTGACATTCTAACCATTTTCATTCAATCTGCCCTTGGACAACCTTGAGGAGTCAATGCTGGGGATCCCCATTCTCTATTGCCTGTAACACATTTGCAACCTCGGGCACTCAATCACCGCGTAGTAAAATCTCCCATGACTTCTCATTTCCCCAGGTCAGTGTGACAGGAAGGTCTTCAAGGCGTGACTGGATGTTTTGACTCGCCAGTTACAAATATTTTCGGCTAAACTGCTAGGATTTTCTTCATAAATGACGAATTCCACGCGATTTCGCCAAGGGAAATAATCTTGCGTTTCTCCAGCCAGACTCGAGTAACGAGTTCATCTCTGTCGGAATTTCCTACTCTATCGTAACAATATATTAGAAAAAATCATGTGAATCACTCTCACTGAGTTTCCACATCTTTGTTTTTGGTATTAAATTTCACTCTAGCAAAGTCAGACTCCTGGCGATTCGCAACTATTAAGATCCACATACTTCCAGTATAACGGATCGATTTACGAGCAAAAAGACGGCGCCGCCATGGGGAGTCCGGTTTCCGCTGTTATTGCTAACCTCTACATGGAGAGTTTCGAAGAACAGGCGATAACTACATCATCCTATGAGCCTAGGATCTGGAAACGCTACGTAGACGATACCTTTACCATCCTGGATCGCGAAAACGTAGATGACTTCTTACAGCATTTAAGCAATCAGCAGCCTTCCACCCGCTTCACCATGGAGACAGAGAAAGACAACAAACTCGCCTTCTTAGACACCGCAGTTTTAAGAGAACCCTGACGGCCGCCTCACCACCAGCGTATACAGGAAGCCCACGCACACCGATCAATACTTAGCGTATGATTCACACCACCCTCAATCAGTAAAACGCGGTATTGTTAAGTGCCTTTACGAGCGCGCCAAACATCTCGTAACAAAACCCTCTGTCATCTCCGAGGAGAAAAAACATCTGTCATCTGTTCTGGTTTCTAATGGTTATCATTTCTCTTCTTGCAGAAACTTACCAAGACCGGAAAACCAAACAGTGCCGAACCCGCCAACGAGTTTAAAGCTACTGCGGTTTTACCTTATGTCAAAATTCTGCCCGAACAGCTTCGCCGTTGCCTACAACAACAAGGCGTACGCGCTGTTTTCAAGTCGGAGACTACGCTAAGATCTCAGTTAGTACGACCAAAAGACGCTGTCGACCCGGCTAAACAAGATGGCGTAGTTTACAGGATTCCCTGTGAATGCGGCAAGGTGTACATCGGAGAGACTGGAAGACCTATGCAAGACAGAATTAAGGAGCACGATCGAGACATTCGACTCGCCCGTACCGAGACCTCCGCCGTTTCAGAGCATGCCCACAACACCGGACACAAGCCACTCTGGAACGAAGTAAAGTTTATTGATCGTGACCCTTATTACTACACGCGCAGGGTCAAAGAGGCAATTCATATAAGACTTCACCCTAACAACATCAACAGGGAGAGTGGAATAGAAATTCCAGAAGCGTGGATGCCCATGATCAAAAAACACAACAACAGGACAGCCGTGCGACAGCGGACTGCCGAGGGAGCAAATCACTGATCAGCAAGGATCGAAATGCACCAATCAGAGCTGTTGAAAAACAACTAATCACAGCAGAGCATCATGCCTTTAAGGTCACGCATGACCAGTCAACCTCATCGCCTGAAGAAGACCAGCAGTATGCAGTCGAAACGTCGCGATCTACATCACACGTGACTACATGGTGATACAAACGAAAAACTTAGCTTTTATTGTTATTCACCACGATGAATAACCACAACCTTTTCTACGAAAGATTAAATCGGTTTGAAGCAAATTTTTTATAGCATTACTAAAAAATCGAGCCGCAAAAGAAGGAAGACGGATAAATAAAGAATAGAGCTCGAAACACAACAGAAAGAAATACATTTTCCCCTGCCAATATGAAATTTTATTGATTTTTTTTTTCGGAGATCGCTTACATATTAATTAATAAATATGGTTATTATGAGTACTTGTTGTTTATCTGTAATTTTCTGCTTTTATTCAACACGTTATAACAATATATTAGTGAAGTCGTAGTGCTCTTTTATCTAATCGACGTGAAAAAACTGATTAAAACCTGTCAAAATTAATCATTATCAACCAGAACTGTTTTTAAGATCTACTGACTGATCGTTCCAAATGCAATTACTGGCAAATGCGTACTTACTAAAACTTTGAGTAATCTACTTAGAGAAATTTCAGTTGGGTGGCGGACTTGATGCAGGGCCGCATTGGTTTTTTTGTACTTCGCTCTGTGATTGGTGCTGAAAACTCGCGCCACCTTCTCCACCAATCAGATGCAAAATTAAAACCATTCACAAGCTATTTGTTCGGGTTTTAACGCGCATCAGTTTTCATTGGCTCTTTGGATTTTTTTTCCATGACTCCTATTGGCCTTCGTGGTTACTTTAGTTTTGGTTTTATAAAACTCAATTGAAAAGCGCTTTAAGAAATGTTGGTTATTCTGGTTGTGATATGAATTCGCTGATCAGTTTGATTCTAAGTTGTTTACCTCACAGTTATTAGGTTGAAGAAGGGCCTCGAAGGATTTGTCTGTGAAAGCATTTCGCTTTCATTAGGACTCGCTTAAACAAAGAGGAAAGATCGTTATGCCTTGGAAGTGGGTGATATTTCTTATTCAATAGTGCAGTAACCGGTGAAATGTCGTTTAAAAGATAAAAAATGATTCGCTTCTTGTCTGCTAACAAGACTGATACATATCAATGTTTAACAAGAAAGTGCGTTTGGCAAGTCACATTGATTTAGAGCGACTATGTTGAACGAGTGAACCACTAGTTTTGTTTCTTTCTAATTGAGTAATTATTTATGTTTTATCAACGTGTTTAATAAAAACAGCTATCCGTTTAATCATGTCTGCTATCACCGGCTCAAGCTCACGGCTCTTCCTTAGCCTGCACAGCTGAACGGATTGTTCGTGCAAGCGCAAGGCGACAACTGCCAAAGAATATCTCTTCTGAACAACATTACAGCTGTGTAAGACAGTGTTAGACATAAGATTACGTGGGATGATTTGAAAGACGTTACATATGATGTTTATGATATCTGACCAACACCTAAAATTAAAAACCATAAAGTCAAATCCTTAATCGAAATTGGCCATCTCTTTTTAGTACTTTGATTCCCTGCCTTCATAATCAACCTGTCGAATAAAAAATAGAAGTTTAATTTATGATTTCTTTTATGTTTAAAAGCCTTCAGATCATTTATAAATTATTACTCCATCTGTGCGCGTTGGATATAACATGCTAACTAGCCAACGAGGCGCGTTACGCTGGGTCTGCTGTAACCACCAATCTCATATCCAACATGCGCGAATGGAATAATTGTTTTACTAATCTTCATTATTTTTAGTAAAAATCTTTTAGCTTCTAACTGTTGACGTAATTCAATTCCATATAAGGTGACTCGGAATTTGAGTTGATAATCGGAGTGAAGTGAACCAACCAGAACACTAGAAATGCAATATCCAGAGCTGAAAAATTTTAATGATATGAATCATTTCACTGAATAAAGATAAGTAACAATAACCATTTTGGTTGACAGAAAAATAGTTCTGCACGTGCATTTTAAAATGTTGTACATTTGATAAACGATAGAAACAGTAAAGAAAAATATAAACAAACAAAAAATTAGAATCTTTCAACTCTAACAAATAAGATATAGACATCTCTCATTGGAATTGGCCCACCTGGACGGAAACTACGTATTAATGTGCCTGGCCAATGTGAAAATTCTAAAGTTGAATTTATAAATTAATATTTGAGAAGTTTTGTGTTGTTTTGTTGACTTCAAGCCTGACAAAACGCAATATGCAAATAAATAAACTGCGGCGTGCAAAACGGAATTAATTTTTCACGAATATCTCAAATTGCTCGGTCAAAGGTCGCAAATTTTAAAAATCACATAACACTCTATTACACTCTATGTTTGGTCACACTCACTGCAATCTTGTTTATTGTTGCATGCTCTCTCTTCCTCTGCTGGTCCCAATTTTTGCGCCTTGCAATTCAATCCGCCATGAGATGCTGGGGGATTGGTGCAACTCCGCTTTCGTGACTGAAATCCTCCACCACATGTTACGCTACATTCCCCCCATGCAGACCAATCAGTGTAACCACCAGGTTCAGCTACAAAAATTATCGCAAACGACTTGTAAGAACTAAATGTTTTATGAGTAACCCCTCTAAGTTTTATGGGCAATTTCAGGTCAACCCAAATTATATCACTTATCGAAGCAATAGAGCTCATTTTTCCGGGTTTCAAAGCGTGTTAAAGAAACGAGATGTTGGGAGAACTCTGGAGTGTTCTTACTGCAAAAGGATTGACCAATCAGATGATTCATACTATGTAAAGTTATGATAACTGTTAGATAATAGCTTTTATGTTTCCTTTTCCTTTTCCTTTTTGATTACAAAAGAAGAGAACGATTCATGGTGTATGAGGCTTAACACCACATGTTGAGTGATCTACCAACCTGATGTAGTAGAATCAGCATGGTGTTCTGCTCGCAGAAAAGAAAAACGAAACACAAGATACGCGATAAGTTCGGGTGGAGAATATAACTGCTTACCGCAAACTGCCATCCGAAGTTTACGCAAAGTTGACATCGACTCATATTCCTGCTTGGTCGATGGTAGGATTATAAGTTTTTCAGGGGCAGCAAGCCTTTCGAGATTGGTGTAGTTTATCTTCTGAGGTGGCCCATATGCCACAAAAATAATATGAACTTTTTTGTCTCTCTACAAGTAAACGTATTATTGTTGATGGTTAATGCTACAGTTTACTGACGCTGCTTCATGAAATATATGACAGACTATAGATGTTAGATTGCTTCAGCGTACGAATTAACAAATTTTTAGGTGGGCATAGTAAAAGAGATTTGAGAGAGAGAGAAAAAGGTTTGTTGAACCTTCAAAGTCTATGCACACGTTTGTTCAAAAGATAAATATATTAAATAGACTTTGAAAAGTGATCCAACTAGATAGTGATTTGGCAAGATGCTAGTGAAATCCTGTTAATATTCGTGACGGAATTCTTCTTAAGTGGCTACCAGCTCAACGATAAAACAGGTAAACAGCTAAAGATAATAATCAAAGAAGAGAAGAACATTTTTTTCTTTTCTTAGTCTTTGATAAGAAAATGAGTTGAAGTATGCTTGAAATCAGATACGGTGCGGTCTATCTGCACTAGAATTTCTAGAATATGGCAGGGCCTCCGTTTTCCATGCCAAGTGAAAATCTGTCAAGGTAATAGAACCGGATAAGATTGACGGATCCAATATTGGTATCTGAGAGACTGCGCTCCTACTCCCCCTAACCCAACATCAACTTTAACTTGTTATCAGTTGACTGTTGTTGAGTTAGGGAATGGGGGGGGGAAGTTGCTCAGATAAGGGCATAGGTCCAGAATAACAAAGTACATGTGATATAATCATAATCATAAATATAACCATTCATATCCGCATTACACTTACTCTTAGAGGGGGTAACGTCACGTTAAAAGGCTTCACTTCATCTCTAGGGAATGGTTTACCGTCTGTAAATATCACGAGAACATTAGGAAAATCTGTTCTTTCGCCACCTTTTGCCGAGAAGAGTGAAGTACTGACCTCTTCCAATGCTTTATCGAAGCGAGTCTCAAATACCACATTCGATGAAGTATTCTCAAGCATTTCAACGAGCTCATTCCTCATGTAGGAACGTTTGTCATTAAAGTCAACCAGAATGCTTGTTTTATGATCAAACTTGACCACGCCTACTCGCGTACCATTCCTTCCAATTGTGCCTCTTGTGAATTGCGTTCTCAAGAATTCAGGGAGAAAGTTTTGAAGTAGATTCTCAAGGGGTTGCTCAGTGATGCTTTCAGAGCTGTCTATCAACAAACCAAGATCAATTTTTCTTTCGCACACTGTAGAAAAAAAATATAAGGGAAATGATGCCAGTAGTTATATACATTTAACTTCAACATATCGACCTCTTTCATAATGGCGGGCATCAGTGTTTTTCTTTTATGTCTTTCAAATTAACGTTCTTTTTCATGCTTTTGAATGAAAACTACATCATTTTCAAACATATTGATGAGGCCAGAAAGCTAATCCACATGAATGTAAAAGAAGAGTAATTTGGCCCTCAGCTTTGAAAGAGAGTCGCAGTCGTCCGATTTTGTTAATCACATGTATGATTACAGATCGAATTGGACTTCAGTCAGTCTTATTACCATTACTTTGTACAACTATCATTATCGCAAGCATTACCTTATTTTTTTATTGTTATTTTGTATTGTTATTATTATCGTTATCATTTGTGAGTCACCAGAGAACATTTCTCTTACATGTTCCTTCTCAGAGATGTTAAACGTCTTCTTTTAACTCTTCTGGATGCAGATGACGAGACTTTCCCACAAACCAATCTCACTCTATAGAACAGTCACCGTATAACTGAATATCGGCCGATATTTGGTCGATTTCTATACAGAGACAATTAGGTCCTCTAGATAAAGATTGAAACATGCTAAGCATATGCACATACATACGCACATACCACACTCCTCGTTGTTGCACGTTCTTGTCTCAAAGCTTTCTCCCTTGCAATCCTTCCCGGCGTGCCTCGGTGGAGGACTAGTGCAAGTCCTTTCCCGCCCGTGCACTCCTCCTCCACACGAGGCTGAGCACTCTGACCAACTGCTCCATTCTGAAAATCCGCCATTTATGCCTTTGATGAAAAAGTTAATATATAAATAATGTGTATTTATACAAACCTTCACAATTATAAATGAACATGCGATGGTTGGTTTTTGTCTTAGCAGGAATTTGTCGTTTTCTTGTAAATTTCTGAGCTGATTATGGCCAAAGACATGTTTTTTGTTGACGATGCTCAGCATGGTTACGTTGTAATTTCTTACAAATTTTTCGATTTTGTTTGCAATAATATAGAAATTAACCGTTCATAAGTAAGTAAGCTAGCACTGTAAAAAGTTTAAAACTCGTTATGAAGTATATATGAGTGTGTTTGTGTAAAGTAAAGTATATGTTCTTCTTATCCTAGAGTTCACGCCAACTCACTGCAAGTAACTTCACGCAGTTTTCTTATCTTGTGATGCAGATCCTCAAAATTCTCCATTAGAATCACACCGTCATCGTTATGTTCACCAGCAATTTGTTTGAGTTGGGTGATATTGAGTCTCCTTCTACCGACACCAACTGCAATCCTATGAATTCCTCTGTCCAATGTCTTTCAAAATAGATATGTCAAGGGGAAATCAGTAAACCTTCATTTTTCAAGGAAGTAGTATACATAGGTTACTTTTCTTTAACTCAATTTTCGTAATGTGAAGAAAACATATCTTTTTAAACAAACAAGAGCCCCTCTTTAGTAGAACGTAAACCAGCAGTCTTAACACCACGAGTCAAGCGTAACAGGGTCCTTTTAAAAAGTCCGATGACTGACATATATTTCCAATACGGTCCTGGCATGGGAAGCTGGGTCAATGAAAAGAATGATCACGACGAGATTACTTCCCTAACCCTGTAACTAGACTCGAAAACCAAACCCAGTACAAAGTGACAAATTACAGATCTAAGACCTCTTGAAACTAAATAACATTAAAAAAAGGAACATCCAGCTCAAAAATTTTTTTGTTGAGAATAAAAAACAATACGTTTTCACATTTTAAGTATTGACGAATACATGACTGAGAATGTCTGAAAATCATATGTGTGAACTGCAGATAAAGAAGTGAACATGAAAGCGATCTTCACAGTTATGAACACTATTAAAACACAGCAATGCTTCCCGTTGGCTTGTTAGCTCAGTTGGTAGATAATATATAAACTGTCTGTTCCATTATTTAGAGTGAAGAAGATCTTCAAAAAAAAGAAAAATTGAATGACTTGACGACTTTAATCTTCAATACATAAAAAAGACTAAGATGGAGACTCTTCCTCTCTCCTTACAATGTCTATACATTATCCTGTAGAAAGGCATTGAAAGAAGCCGGACATAAAAGGAATGTATTTAAAAATAAGTAGAAAAATGATTGCTGTTGTCGCTTGAGCCCTCCCTTTACCCACCGATAGGTCAGTGTACTCCCCCACCAATGTCATGCGCGAGGTAAAAAAATAGATGGAAAAACATGGCACTTACGGAGAGTTCCTTCATAACCTCTCCAAGATCTCGTGATTTAGGATTCGTTTTGCCGTCTGTCAGAACCATCAATACGCCCTGATGATTGGCATCGCCCTCTTTAAGAACCTGAATGGCTTTTTCCAGGGCGCGATCTGTACGAGTTGGCCTACCCAAGGTGTCGTTGAACATCGAAGTCAAATATTCCGTCAATTTTTCTAGGCTTTGATATGCTGAATCACTAAAGCCTATCCGTTTTTTTGCATCACTGGCAAATGAAACAATTGCAATACGAGTATCTTTGATGCCCACATTGAAGAATCCTACAAAATTTATGACTGCCTTCAGCATTGTTTTGTAGTTTTCTACCCCAACACTCTGAGTCTGGTCAATAACAAGACAGATGTCAAGAGGAGGGTCTTCACAATCCAGCATACCTGAAATAAGATCAAATGAAAGGCATCACAAATAAGAAGATTTTTGATTTGTGATACTTTAGAGAACAGAAGTCTGAGTCCCCTGAAAGAAATCGAGACTCAGACCTATCGATTTGCACTCCGATGCTCAATCACTGAGGTACTGACATGTTTATACCCTGTTATCCTACTTAGTCTATTTATAACCGACACTTGTATACTTTTTCTTGATGGTGAATTTTATAATGTGGCAATAACTCTGGTTACGTCTGGAAACTTTCGAAAAAACGGTAGACACGCTGCTTGACCCTGAAAATTCACAGTAGCTTTGAATTTACATGTTCTATTTCGGCACGTGCTTTGTAAATCTCCTGTGCCCAAGTTTGGAAACTATTATCCGAGTTTTGGCGCTAACGCCCAATTTTGAACATAAGTGTTCGATTTTGGAGATTAGTTTCTGATTGAAGACACCGTGGTCCAATTTTGCACACCAGTGTCCGATTCTAGATACTAAAACACCAGTGTCGGGATTTGGACGCTAGTATTAGATTTCAGATTGCAGTATACGATTTTAGAGACTAGGGTTGATCTGATTTAAGACGCTGGCTAGTGTCTGGTTTTAAACACTATTGTCCGAATTTAGACACTACTGTCCGAATTTATACACTAATGTCAGTTAAAAGACACTATTGTCCGCTTTTGTAAACTGGTGTCCGATATTAGTGTTTGATTTAAGACCCTAATGTCCGAGTTTAGAAACTAGTGTATGATTTAGGACACTAGTGTCCGATTTTGGAAAATAAGGTCCCATTTTGGACGCTGGTGTCCGATTTTAGAAACTAGTGCCTAATTTCAGACCCTAATGTCTGATTTTAGAGATCGATTTCTTATATTAGACATGTCCGATTTCGGGTAGCAGTTTATGCATTTAGACACTAGTGTCCGGTTTTTCATACCAGTGTCTAGGATTTTATAGATTGTGTTGAATAGTTAGGACATTAGTTTGCAATTTAAGTCCCTAACAACAGATATAGGACACTCACGTTGTCCGCTGTTAGACACAAGTATCCGATTTAAGACACTAGTATCCGATTTAAGACACTAGTATCCGATTTAAGACACTAGTATCCGATTTAAGACACTAGTATCCGATTTAAGACACTAGTATCCGATTTAAGACACTAGTACCCGATTTAAGACACTAGCATCCGATTTAAGACACTAGTATCCGATTTAAGACACTAGTACCCGATTTAAGACACTAGTATCCGATTTAAGACACTTGTACCCGATTTAAGACACTAGTATCCGATTTAAGACACTTGTACCCGATTTAAGACACTAGTATCCGATATAAGAGACAAGACGCTAGTATCCGATTTAAGACACTAATATCCGATTTAGGATAGTGGTTAAATATATAACTCTAATGTCCGATTTAAGACATTATTATCCGATTTCTGACGGTAGTTAGATATTTTAAACACTAAGATCCGATTCTGAACATCAGTAGTGTCCGATTTTAGCTTCTAGTTACTGATATTAGAAACAAGTGTCCGAGTTTGGATATTAGCGTCAAATTTTAGACACTAGTTAATGATTTAAGACACCAGTGTCTGATTTTAAACACCAGCGTCCGAATTTAGACGCTAATGTCTGATTTCAGACGCCAGAGTCATTACTAAGAGAGTTGCACCCACCACAAGTAGTGTTGTGAATGTTAGTTACGTTTTCCTTTAGGTCGCTGAAATCGCGGTACTGCAGTATCTCTTCGTTCCTTCCGCCGGTTAAGTTTCGAAGATTTTCGATCGGGAATTTGTTGCCGACTTCAATCGCCAATCGATAAATTCCTCTTCCCTACGTAAAGAAGAATAAGGCTAATTTCAAACCAACTGACTTGAAAAGGATTTTCAAATTAAGAGCTTAACCCACAAGGAATTATAGTTATATCTTTAGATTAAACGGCTTATGAATTAAGTCAAGAGCTTAGCTAAGGGAGAAAAAGTTAAAGGTGTTGGGATATTCAGGTAGCGAAAACTAGGGAGTAATCTCTGTTCAACACAGTCTGAACCCCCTCCCCCCTCCCCCTTTGACAAATCCTGGCTACGCCCCCATAAGTTGAGAGTTCATTTAAGTTTTACGACGAAAGGTGCGCACCTCTGTTTACAAAGAAACATGAGAATCACGTAAGTTACCATAAGCTACCTCAAGATCCTTGATGACTCTCTCTGTATCATCGTCAACAGCTAACTCCCGCGCTACAAGAATCACGAGATCGATGGACGTGGGTCGGAGGTCGTTGTCCTCATTGAAAACATCCTCAGCAACCGTTTTCAAAGCATTTGAAATGTTTGACCCAATGCCCAGATCTGTCGACTTGTCCCTGAGATTCCTGATAACTTCCTCCAGCTTTGTCCATAATCGTTTATCGTCCTTGCTTAGGTCTGTCATTGTCACGCTCACTTTAGCATTTTTACCGTACTGAATAATTGCGAAATGAGAACTATTTCTCAGAACGCTAAACTGCTTGATCAACTCTTCGATTGAATCCAACATCATTTCATAATCATCTTGGACGTTATCTTTGGACGGGATGACAAGGGCGACATCCATCTCGATGTTGTGACAATCGAAAGACGCTGCAATACGAAATTGAAGAGGTTAGGGAAATAAAAAGTTGAGACAAGTCTCTGAAGGAAGAGCGGTACAAAATTCCAAGTTTGTCTACATCATTGTATCTCATTTGAGTTTTCCATAAACGACACTCCATGAAGGAGAATGCTGGTCCAAGTGCAGTGGCATCACCACTGGACAAGAGAAAAGAAAACTGACTTTATTAATGTGGAAAGAAGTCCAAGATGGAAACAGATTCCAAGTAAAGAGCAGGATGCAATTCCTCCCATCCCCGACAAAGTGGATAAGCAGAGTGTTTTTTGGTTTAGGTCAGGGTTGGTCTGTCACAGTTTTTGATTTTTAGACGGCTAGTTTTTCTCTTTGTACCGTGCATTTGTGATGGTAAGTTGATCAGAGGTCTTTACCTTCAGCATGTGAGAAAATAAATAGCATCCCAAAGCTGAAAAGAAACTTCATGTTGGCGAAAGAAGGCTATCCCGTTGAGTCACTGTAATGGGAAAAATGAAGAAAAGATTAGAAATTGTCAAAAGCTTTTAAGTCTTACTACTCTGATCATTTTGAATTTCGAAGATGCTGCCTTGGCAAAACCGAGTACTCAATTGAAAGAAATATTGCGACTGCACAAGAATAGTTGGTAAAGTAACTCAAACAAGTCAAACTGCATGAATCCTTCCAACGTATTCCACTCAAGTTCTTCCATTTATTTCGTAATTCTCCGCACAAAAGTGGTGGTAAATTGCAAGTGACCTTCATCATTTATTCGGATTTGAATTTTCATTAAGGATACAGACTGATGTTTTCTATTCAAAAAAGAAATTACAGATTTTAGAGTGTATATGTTATCAAAATTTGGAACAAAATATTACGAGAAGCTGAGTACATTTTGAAATTCCTTTAAAAAGTGCCGGCTAAAATGTCAGTCCACGCGTTTTAAAATATATTTCCGTTCTCCGTAAAATTTCCAACTCTTAGTAGTTGCGAATTAAGAACTAATATTCGATAAGCATATAAACTTCTCCTCTACATAAGCTACCAGGTTGTATGGTGTCGTTTAACTGATGTAAAACGCATCAAATAACAGATTTTGAAAAAGTAGTTTATCTGATAAAAGTAATATATTTATAAGAAAAAAGTATCAATTGTTCATTGTCAGATTCTTTTTATGTGCTTTGTGTTCTTCGCTAACTTTCGAAATTATAAATTACACAAACTATACGTAATATGAAGAAATTCGAAGCGTTTAAAAGTTCTGTTATTGACACTAATTTTTTTAATCTAGCTTGAAATACATCCTTCAGTTGATCCTTATCCTTGATTTTGTTTTAAGAAAGGGAAACATTCTACCCTCATTCTATCCTATTGCTTTGTAAATATTTTCTAAGTTGACAATTTTTTTAATGTAATAATCTTGATTGGCGCAACTGAAAATATTCGTCTAGAGTTTCGCACCATATATATTTGTATCATTATTATAGTTATCATTGCTTCATTTCTCAGAAATCAAAACTACGGTTAACTCCGTTGGACCTTACTGTTTACGCGGTTGAAAAGGTTTGATTTGATTAAATTGATTTTTTTTCTCTTTTATTTTACTTTTTCTCAGTAATTTGTCTGTTTATTTATTCCTTTAACAATTAATTCATGTATTCATTGCACATTAGTAAAGCCGTTACAACAAACCATTTACGGATTTTGAGCTTGTTCTGCGAAAAAAAAATTAAAAGGTAAAATTTTCTCTGACGCCACGCTAATTTTCTGATTGTTAAACAAAAAAGATGCGAAAAGCAAAGTGTTGGCAAGGTAAATAAATAAAGGGGAAAGTCTTTGAATAAACTTTGGTGCCGCATCGGTGGGAGAGTAAAACAAGGTAATTTAGTTTTATCCACTGAGTTGATGATGTTAATTGGCTTAGAAGGGTTTCTAAGCTGACGTTTCGAGACATTTCGCTCTGACGAAGGGCTAACGCTCGAAACATCTGCATAGAAACCAAATTATCTTGTCGACAAGGTTACTAGTTTATCATGCAACCGGCTACATGTTACCTTTTTTGCTTTCGACTTTTAATCTTGGAATTTGTTGCTAAATTACGTTAACGGTAACATCTCTTGTGAAAACAATGTGGAATAAAAGGATTTTCTCTTCTTACTTAACGACTTAGGCAGAATGACGGATAACGACACAGTACAGCCCTAAAATATGTTCAATAGGTTCTCATAAATACTGACTTTAACCGGGTAATCATTCTATTGTTGTGTCTCGTATTGTTGTCATGAATTACCTAAGTAACGCTATCTTCTGTGAAAAAATTCAGATGTTATCATTCAAATTGTCTAAATATAGAAAAAATAAATAAAAATTTGAAAAAAAAAAAGAGCAAAACCTAAT